TGCTTATACTTGCTAGGTTATGATCACTGTATTGTTTGTTCTCTTTTATACAACTCTGCATGTGAACTGGTTGTGGCCATTTGCTTGTGCTCGGAATGTGTGGTGACTTCGTGATCCACCGTGAGCTTGCTTTGTTTTTCTTGACTGGCCTTGTGACCAGTTTTTCGCCCCCACTTTGCCTATGGAGGTGTGTCAAAATGTTATAATGCTTATATTGTGTAAGCTGTAGTGGAGTAGCTCATAAGGGGTACAACCCAATTAGGGTTAGTACTTGTACCAACTTTCTGTTCAGTGCATTCATTCTCGTTCAGTATTCTGACAGCAACCAGTACCGCACATTGGGTAGACTGGAAAAGGTTCCAGGAGGCCAACCAGCTCTGGGCGGTGATGGATTTTCAGCAACTGGAACTTTCTCAGCTGCCCAGAAACTCGGGCAGCGAGGTCTTCACAGATGAAGGAAATTAGATGCGAGGCATGGAAAGGCTTACCTTCCCATGCACCAAAGAATAGATACTGGTCTCTTGGTGGCGAGAATGGGAAGACTTTCGAGGAAGAAACAGGCTGAAACCGTATATGGAACAAGGAAATGAAGGGAGAGAAGGGAAAAGGCATAATGGGGGAGGAAATGAAGTGAGGCAAAGCAATTTCTGGTCAATGATCACTTTCTTGCCTGTTTCTATAGTGATCACTCTATATGGTGCTAACTATCAGGCCACAGCTGCAGCAGCTTCATCATTATTCACCCTAAGCGAACAGCATAATTCAAGCGCTAATTCTTTCCTAAGCAATCTTATTAACACAAAAACTCCACATAGCAAGAAAAAGATGATGCTTACTTCCTATGCATATCCTACCACTCCTACACTTTCCCCCAAAGCCTGATCATGTCAGAATCCCAACACTAGACCATTGGGATAAAATGGCTTTTTAAGTAGCGGCTCAGTGCGCCCATAACCCCCCAGGCGAACGTGCATGTAATCCCTCTAAGATCAATCGGGCATCCACAGTGCAGATCTACTGACACCCCCCCACACTGGGAGGCCCAAGACTGAGCACAGCGGCAACGGCCTACATGTGCATACACCGGGCTTCGAACCCGAGACCGCTCTTATACCATGTCAGAATCCCATCCATTAGACCATTGGGATAAAATGGCTTTTTAAGTAGCGGGTCGGTGCGCCCATAACCCCCCAGGCGAACGTGCTTGTAACCCCCCTAGGATCAATCGGGCATCCACAGTGCAGATCTACTGACAGATCATCTTATCCATCTCCTCTTCTTTCCCATAGAATCTCTATTTCCATTCAATCCACATCCTCATTGCACATCATCCTCATCCACAACCTCTTCATTCCACATCCTTATCCTCCTCATCCACATCCTCCTCCTCATCCTTCTCATCCTCATCCTCCTCCTCGTCCTCCTCCTCATCCTCATCCTCCTCCTCATCCTCCTCCTCCTCATCCTCATCCACATCCTCCTCATCCATCTCCTCTGCCTCACAGGGTTCAATCGCGCCATAACCCCTGCCAAAAACTGTCGTAAGGCCGGTACTCTGGTTTGAAATCCGAGGACACCCGGCAATCGTGTAGTGCTGCAGCATTGGCATATTCTTGAGGAAGGAAGGCAGAGTTAGTTGCTCACAATCATGCACTTCCAGCCACTTCAGCCGAGACAAGTCTCGAAAACAACCAGTGAGCCTGCGAAGTTTCGGCAGTTCTGAAAGGTAAAGCTTTTGGAGGGAAAAAAGGTTTTCGAAATCATGCGGAAGGGATAACAGCCCAAGAAAGTTGATAAGTGTGCAGTACTGTATGCTAGGCAGTTTGGAAAAAGATTCTGGAAGCTTTGATATATTTGGACAGTCACAGATGTCCAAGAACTTCAGCTTCTTCAGCTGCCCGATCGACCTGGGCAACTGAAGGGTATCGCTTAGTTGCTCCAAACTGAGAGATGTAAGCTTGGAAAGTCCATCCAATGATCCCGGCAGTACTTCGAGACACTTGGCATCAGAGATGGTAAGTTCTTCCAGGTTTGACAACCCAGAGATGGATTCAGGGAGCATACGTAGAGTAGGTACGCCCTCCAAGTGCAGCTTGACCAGCGAAGAGATAGAAACCAGGGACTGATCAAGAAATTCGGAAGCAACACCCGAAATGAGAAGGCTCCGTAGTGATGGAAGAACTTCCTCTTCAACACACTCCAGATTGCTGCTGCTGCTGCTGCTGCTGCTGCTGCAGTTGCTTGTCCCACCAACCAAGGCGGCCACAATGCTCCTCCTGCCCAACTTCTTGCAACTGCTCACATCCAGCTCCCGCAATCGAGGCAGCTTCAACAGCAACCGAGGAATCGATTCCAAACTCTCTAAATGTGAAAGATGGACCTCCTCCAGCATTTCCAGCCGTCCAAGCTCCGTTGGCAACGCTTTCAGCTCACTGCAAGATTCTATTGTCAGACTGGTAAGGGTGAGACCCAATCGCGAGAGGGAGGCCGGGAGGGAAGTGATACCAGGGATGCTAGATAGAGAGTGTTCTCTAAGATGTGTGAAGCTGCCGAAACCCTCCGGAAGGCAGCCTCTCAAGCACTTGAGCCCTTTCAAGTCCACTTTTTCGAGCGATGAAAGACGGAAAAAAGATGCAGGGAGGTGGGTGATAGGTATGTGATGCAAAATCAGCTCACGAAGATGACGCAGGCCATCCCCTATGGAGTCTGGTATAGCAGTAAGATTCGAGCAGGACTTAATATCCGATTTTTCAAGGGAAGATAGCAGGGTAAAGGAATCGGGTAGCTGCTGACGTTTCTTACACCAGCGAAGACCCAATTTCCGCAATCTGATCAGATGTCCAAGGGATTCAGGTAGAAGGCTGAGTTGTGTAAGGCTTGACAATTTCAAAATCTCCAGTGCAGACAGCTGTCCAAAGTCCCCAAGCAGGGACGGAAGACTTTGAGAATTGGCTCCTAAGCTTCCTAGCTTGAGACTTTGAAGCTTTGATAGTCGACCAATGCCATCGGGCAGATCTGTAAGTCTTAGCACGCGCAAGTAAAGACTCGTGAGGGATGAAACATTAGGCAAGGACCTGGGTAACCATGAGGAACTGTCTTGGTCGTCAATGGTAAGCTTCTTCAGCTGCGGCAGAAATCCAACAGCCTCTGGAAGCTCCGTGATCCCCTTCACACGCCTGATGAGTAGGCATTCCAATGCTGGCAGCTTTCCAAAATCCTCAGGAAACGACAAAAGATCTTCACAATCCCACAGCTCAAGCACCTCCAGTCGTGGAAGCTTGGAAAGACCGCGTGGTAATTGAAATGTAGTGCAATGATGAATGAAAAGACTATGTAGATTGAGAAGCTGCTGAATGGATTCTGGGAGTGAGCAGTGATAGCGAATACCAAGCAGCGTCAATGTCTTCAGCGAGACGAGATTGCAAAAATCTTGAGGCAGATCTTGTAGATTTGACGCACTCAGTGTAAAGTTCTCAAGAAGCTGCAAAGAGGTGATAGCGTCAGGAAGATGCTGAATTTTATCACTCAAGAGGAAGAGGCTCCTAAGTCGGGATTGCTTGCAGATGGAAGGTTGAATGGAACGGATACACGACGGACAGACGAGGTGCAGATCCGCTAGTTTGGTGCAACCCTGAAATAGCTTTGAAAGTCCTTTCGCAGTGAAAGCTTTCCCGTGACCGAACGGATCAGATGACGTTTTGATGTGAAGCTGAACCAAATTAGGATGCGTTTCGACCAGGCCAGAGAAGAAAACGTCTGGGACGAAGGTTAAACTTCCTCTTGATAGAACGAGTTTCTTCAGACTAGGAAACTCCGCGATCTGGTCAAGCAACTGGCGGTAATTCATGCAACGATCATCATCGGACACTTCAACTACGTCCTGCACGCAGTTGGCTACCTTGCGCCATTTCGTGCACACCATAGCATGTAAGAATTCGTCGGGTCGAACATCTAGTTGCTGGATCTTGGCGAGCAAATCGTCAGATAGCTGTCGGATCGGAGACTCCTGTGACATTGTGACGGATTTACTAGGGCGATCTAGAAACACGGGTGAAGTCTCCGAATCTTATTGTAAAGAAAGAATAAGGCCGACGAGGACGAATCTGTCCTGGGAGTCGAAACGTTAGGGGGAAGGAAGTACTAACCGAAGTGGCTGGTGGAATAGCAGGACGGAAGATATGCCGCAGGCTGGCGTCAAAAGGAAGGCTACGTGTGGGTGAATGGCGTGTGCCTGAAGAAATGACACAGAGGGATGGAAGGGGAAGATCGAGCGAGAGGAGAAAGGTCGACCTCGAGAACTTAAAACTGAGAAACGCGAGATCAGTGGTGGCAATGGCGAGATCCAAGAATGGGATTCCCAGCCAACAAGAGCTATGGCCGTGTGGGGGATGGGAAAGTTGGGAAGAAAGCTGGTTGAAACGTCATACTGTGATGGCAGGTCCTTTTTTCGTTCAAATGACACCCTTGAGACGAAACGATTTGGAACTCTTCGGCTGTCCTGAGGACACGCCATCCTTCCCGACGAGCTGCAGTGACAAATTTCGTGTGCTGTCCCTCAAATTGCGCGAACGGTAACGGGGTTTCATAATAACCAGCGAGGGAGTTGCTCGCGGGGTGCTTGTGATCACAGAGAGCCGCGTGGAGCTGTGCATGTGTGCAAACACACTTGTTCGAGGATCGAACAACTTTTTGTTTCCTAATAGGGCAGTTTCAGTGTAATCTACAACATTGTTACGAGTGCACAGGTATGTTGACTTCTCATCCGTGGTTATTTCCAATTACTGATATTGCAGTCCCATGAATTTTTGGCATCTTTTACATTGATAAAATATGGCCTGGTGGCATGATGCAGGGCAACAGGATATGTGAGACACTCTATTTATTAGGGGAAAAAATTAATTGGCTACCCTGCAGTGAGACTTCTCATGCAACAATGTTCCATTCCATGGATACAACAAAAAAAAGGGAAACTGCTTGGAGTGCTGTTACATATGATCCATTCAGGTGATTATTTGGAAATACCAGGTGTAGTAAACGAAACCACCCAGAAGAGCAGCACCGGTGCTGAGCAGAGGCAGCAGCACGGGGAGGAACTGGCCGTCCGACTCAAAGAGGAAGTTGGGGAGGTTCATTGAGAAGGCTGCTATGATGACAATGAGCATTGATAGGACCGTGCCTGTTGCTGTTATCAGCACCTGAAGGGGGTTGGAGGGATGAGGGGAGCAGAGGAGGGAATATGGGAAAGTGGGAGAGTGGTGTGTTGGAGGAAGTTGGGGAGGTTCATTGAGAAGGCTGCTATGATCACAATGAGCATTGATAGCACCGTGCCTGTTGCTGTTATCAGCACCTGAAGGGGGTTGGAGGGATGAGGGGAGCAGAGGAGGGAATATGGGAAAGTGGGAGAGTGGTGTGTTGGAGGAAGTTGGGGAGGTTCATTGAGAAGGCTGCTATGATCACAATGAGCATTGATAGCACCGTGCCTGTTGCTGTTATCACCACCTGAAGGTGGGGAGGGGAGGAGGCGGGAGGAAGCATGGTAGGGAATATAAGGGAGAGGGCAGACGGGGTGCAGTAGGTCTTGGGGTAGGTTTCGGGAGGTTCATTGAAAAGGCAACAAAATCATGACGACATGGCTAGAAAACAGAGCCACATGACACATGCTCTGGTTCCCCCTTCCTCTCACCCCCCTTGCACCCATCCCCCTTCGAAACCCCCCGTCCCCCCCACCCCAAGTCCCCAACCCCAGGATAAGCTGCCACGTCAGTCACTCCGGCCACGTCAGTCACTCCTGCCACGTCATCAGCACCACGCACCTGCATCCCCTGCAGCTGGTTCCTGCGGTAGTCCAGCTGCGTGTTCACATAGTCCTCCGTGTCATCCACATACTCGTGGAGCTGGGAGAAGGGTGGGAAGAGGTGGGAGGAGACAGAGCGTGTAAGAGAATACAGTGTGTGCTCTCCGTGTTCACATAGTCCTCTGTGTCATCCACATACTCGTGCAACTGAGGGAGGGAAGGGGTGGGGGTAGACAGAGCGCGTAAGAGAATACAGTGTGTGCTCTCGGTGTTCACATAGTCCTCTGTTTCATCCACATACTCGTGCAGCTGAGAGGGAGGGAAGAGGTGGGGGTAGACAGAGCACGTAAGAGAATACAGTGTGTGCTCTCGGTGTTCACATTGTCCTCTGTTTCATCCACATACTCGTGCAGCTGAGAGGGAGGGAAGAGGTGGGGGTAGACAGAGCGCGTAAGAGAATACAGTGTGTGCTCTCCGTGTTCACATAGTCCTCCATGTCGTCCACGTACTCGTGCAGCTGAGGGTGCAGGTAGAGTTGACAACAAGGAGATAGAAGGGAAGGGAATACATTGGTGCTCTCTTTCCCTGGTAGTCTTGCTGCGTGTTCACATAGTCCTCTGTGTCGTCCACATACTCGTGGAGCTGGGGGAAGATGAGGGGTGTGGTGGGGGGACAGGGAGCGGGAGTTAAGGTGCGAGCATGCAGTGTGCTCCCATCCAGCTGCGTGTTCACATAGTTCTCTGTGTCACCCACGTATTCGTGCAACTGAGAGGTGGGGGAGAAGAGAGATTGAAGAAGAGATGAGAGATAGTGGAGGGCACACAGAGTGCCCTCTCATCCAGCTGCGTGTTCACATAGTCCTCCATGTCAGTCACGCAATCGTGTAGCTGGGGTGGAGGGGGAGAGAGAGGAAGGGAGGGTGGGGGTAAAGTTGGATGGCCTGCTCTTTCACATAGTCCTCTGTGTCGGCCACATACTCGTGGAGCTGGAAGAGGCAAAGGAGGGAGGGGAGACAGCAGGTGGAATGTAAGAAAAGGGATAAGGCAAGGGCATGTAGGGTGTTGACGTAGCCCTCCGTGTCGTCCATCTACTCGTTGAGCTGGAAGATAGGGGGGCGAAGGGGGGAAAGAAGGGTTGATACTAGGTGCTCTCTTCTATACTGAGTGTTCACATATCCCTCCATTCGTCCATCTACTCGTTGAGCTGGAAGATGGGGGGGAAGCGGGAGATATATACGAAAGCAAGATATACATTATAGCTATTCAATAACTGCTTTAAGGTCGTTCAATAGTAGGTCATACGCCTCCAGCAGCATCTCCAGCTCGTTGCAACGTTGATACCCTTAGACTAGTAGAAAGGCAGAGCAGAGCACTCAACAGCAAATCAATATCCTCTTTAGGATCAATATCCGCTTTAGGGTTGAGCAGAGCACTCAACGTCCGTCCACTCGCGTGAAATACGCCTCCAGCAGCATCTCACGCTCCTCCACATCCTCGCCTCCTACGGCAGTTCAACAGCACACCCACCCACGCACCTCAGGGAAGGGCAGAGTCCATGGTAGCTAGCTATTCACTCACAGCAGTTAAGTCGTTCAATAGTCGGTCCACCTGGGTGAAATATGCTTCCAGCAGCATCTCTAGCTACTCCACTGCAATCCAGCAACACACACCCACCCATCCAGCAGCAGCAATAGACACCACTCACCACTGTGAGGCCGTTCAATAGTCGGTCCACCTGGGTGAAATACGCTTCCAAAAGCATCTCCAATTCCTCCACGTCCTCCCCTCCATCCACACAGCAGCACACCCATCCACCCACCTCAGAGGGCACAGCACATGATAGCTACCTATGCACTCACCGCTGTGAGATCGTTCAATAGCCGGTCCACTTGAGTGAAATACGCCTCCAGCAGCATTTCCAACTCCTCCACGTCCTCCCCTCCTCCCACTGCAATCCAGCAGCGCAACCACCCAGCCACCACCTCAAGCAAGGCAGAGCCTACAGAGCCTATTTTTGAGTCGACTCAAAAACACACCCAGCCACTCACCCGCTCACCCACCCGCCACCTCAAGCACGGGCAGAGCACATGATAGCTACCTATGCACTCACCGCTGTGAGATCGTTCAATAGCCGGTCCACTTGAGTGAAATACGCCTCCAGCAGCATTTCCAACTCCTCCACGTCCTCCCCTCCTCCCACTGCAATCCAGCAGCGCAACCACCCAGCCACCACCTCAAGCAAGGCAGAGCCTACAGAGCCTATTTTTGAGTCGACTCAAAAACACACCCAGCCACTCACCCGCTCACCCACCCGCCACCTCAAGCACGGGCAGAGCACATGATAGCTACCTATGCACTCACCGCTGTGAGATCGTTCAATAGCCGGTCCACTTGAGTGAAATACGCCTCCAGCAGCATTTCCAACTCCTCCACGTCCTCCCCTCCTCCCACTGCAATCCAGCAGCGCAACCACCCAGCCACCACCTCAAGCAAGGCAGAGCCTACAGAGCCTATTTTTGAGTCGACTCAAAAACACACCCAGCCACTCACCCGCTCACACACCCGCCACCTCAAGCACGGGCAGAGCACATGATAGCTACCTATGCACTCACCGCTGTGAGATCGTTCAATAGCCGGTCCACTTGAGTGAAATACGCCTCCAGCAGCATTTCCAACTCCTCCACGTCCTCCCCTCCTCCCACTGCAATCCAGCAGCGCAACCACCCAGCCACCACCTCAAGCAAGGCAGAGCCTACAGAGCCTATTTTTGAGTCGACTCAAAAACACACCCAGCCACTCACCCGCTCACCCACCCGCCACCTCAAGCACGGGCAGAGCACATGATAGCTACCTAGTTCTTCACTCACCGCTGTGAGATCGTTCAATAGCCGGTCCACTTGAGTGAAATACGCCTCCAAAAGCATCTCCAATTCCTCCACGTCCTCCCCTCCTCCCACACTCACCACACTCGAACTCACACTGCTCCCCGACCCCTCCCCCATTCCCCCCATCCGCCCCATTCCCCCCCTCGGCGTTCCCCCCATCCCCCCCCATGCGCCCCTGCCAGAGCTTCGGAAGCTTCGGCCAGTGACAGGGAGGAAGGAGAGCGAGTGAGTGAGGGAGTGAGGAAGGGAGTGAGTGAGGGAGTGGGTGAGGGAGTGAGTGGGGGAGTGATTGAGGGAGCCCCTGTGACCAGAGACGGTCGCAGGGGGAAAAGCAGGGGGGAAGGCAGGCCCAGAAGCAGTTGGCTGAATATGAGGAGAATGGGGATTGGGAGGAGGAGAAGAAAGGTCAAGTGGAGGGGAATGTGAAGGTGAGCGTGAGAGTGAGGGAGAGGCTGTTGGAGAGTGTGTGGGAGTGTGTGCTGGAAAGTTTGAAGGAGAGTGTGTGGGGGAGTGTGGGGGTGAATGTGCAGGAGAGTGTGGGTGAGAGCGTGGGGGAGAGTGTGCGAGAGAGAGAGGGTGAGCGTGTGAGGGAGAGTGTGAGGGAGAGTGTGAGGGCAAGTGTGAGGGAGAGTGTGCGGGAGAGGCGGGCAGAGTGAGCCATTGCAGCTGGCGTGTGAGGTAGAGGTCTGCCATGTCCCTGTCATCATCTAATAGATGCTCCAACTCGTCTCGGACCTACATCAAAGCAGGAGCAGGGAAGGGGGACACAGGAAGGGCAGCAGTTAGCGTGTGAGGTAGAGGTCTGCCACGTCCCTGTCATCGTCTAACAGATGCTCCAAATCGTCCCGCACCTGAATAGAGCAAGGAGGGGAGACAACGGGAAGGATGGAGAGAAAGGGCAGAAGGAGCACAAGAGCAGCGCAGTGTGAGGTAGCAGCGGTCTGCCATGTCCCGGTCATCATCCAATCGATGCTCCAACTCACACCGCCCCTGAAACAAGGTGAAAAACGAGCGAGCGTAAAAGGTAGCACAGTGTGAGGTAGAGAGGTCTGCCATGTCCCTGTCGTCATCCAGTAGATGCTCCAATTCATCTCGGACCTGGATAGATGCAAGGAACAGGAACGAAGGAAGCGGAGAACACAGGCAGCACAGTGTGAGGTGGAGAGGTCTGCCATGTCCCTGTCACGTCATCGTCTAACAAAAAGCTCCAACTCGTCCCGCACCTGCAGAAGCAAGAGCAGGAGCGCGAGGGGAGGAAGGAGTGAGTGAGCGCATGGCACGAGAAGAAAGCATCATGAAAGTGTGGCGCAGTTGGAGGTAGAGATCTGCCACTCCCTCACACCTCTCACGGCTTCACCGGCTGACTCACCTCACATACCTTCTGCACGCGGGAAGTCAACACAGTAAGCCGGTTCTTCACCCCTCTGACCGCCTCCAGTCCTGCCGTGCTGACAGCTCGTGCGAGTGCATTCAGAGCCGCATACGCGTCCCTCTCCAGCTCGCGACACTCCCCCTCCAGCCTCCTGCTCACCACCTCCTCTAGTATCTGCTCCAGCACCCGGAACTCGAACGGTAACGGCTCCTCCTCCTCCTCCTCCTCCTCCTCCTCCTCCTCCTCCTCCTCCTCCTCCTCCTCCTCCCCACCCTCCTCGCCCCCTTTTGCTTCCTCGTCCTCTTTCCCGCTCACTGCCTCCTGCTCTTTCCCTTTCTCCTCCTCGCCTTCACTCTCCTCCTTCCCTTCACTCTCCTCCTTCTCTCCATGCCTTGCAACATCTGCTTCTGTTCTTTTTCCTGCTCCTCCTTCCCCTGCCCCTTCCCCTCCTGGCTCCCCTTCTCTCTCTCCGCCTCCCACTCCTTGTATTTCACCCTGCCTTTGTGTCCCCACATGATCACGTGCATCTGCTTGTGCTTGTGCCTGTGCATGTGGATGTGCCTGTTCCTGCTCTTGCTCCAGCTCCTGCTCCTGCGCCTGTGCCTGTGAAACCCCCATGCCCTGCATCGTTGCCTGTGCCTTATTCCTCCCTGGTCCGTGAGTTGGTACCTCTGCCTGCTCCTGCTTCTGCGCCTGCGCCTGTGCCTGTGTCTGTGCCGGTTCAGGTCCCATGGCAAGAACCCTTTCCAGGTGGGCGGAAAAAGCAGCAACGGGCGGCGAGGAGGGGTTGAAAAGCAGCACCTGTTGCGCTGACACGATGGCCTTCACATGCTCCAGGTTCACCATCATGCACCCCTCCCTGCCTGTAACCGGGTAACCAGACGCGGCGAGAGAGAGGGAGAAAGAGACACGATGGCCTGGAGCATAGCGCAGATCTACCGGATCGCGCGCAGATCAAGCGCGGATCAAGCGCAAAACGCGCGCGGGGACCGACGTGCGGAGCACATTTCGCTTCTGACGCGGAAGTCACCGAGAATGGCGGCGGTGCGGACCAGCAGCGGGCGGTCCAAGCGCAGATCGCGCGCGGGGAGCGACAGCCGACGTTCGCATATAGGTACGTACTTACGTTCTAGAGTGAGGCTGAATAACACTCACCGAGTATCGCGGCGGCGGAGGACAGCAACGGGCCGTTTAAGCGCAGATCGCGCGCGGGGACCGACACGCGGCGCATGATGGCCTGTTTCGTGCACTGTAGCAACTCCGCCTCCCCCCGCATCCCGACAAGCAACACCGCCCATTTCCGCCCCGCCAGGCGCTTCTTCTTCCGCTTCTTCCCCCCCACCGCCTTCCGCTTCTCGTCGCTTATCCCCCGCGCTTTATCGTCGACGATCTTAATCTCCACTAAGTCGCTCCCGTCCTTAATCGCTTTAGACCCGTCTGCGTCATTCGGCTCCTTTCCTTCATCCCCGATATTAGTCTCACTACCCTCCGCTACAGCTTCCGCCGCCATCCCGCTTTCTCCGCAAAGGCTTTCGATCAGGTTCAAATGCGACTTCTGAATGAAATACCATACGCACGCCTATCAGGGGTAAGTTCCCGTGGAATGGCTTGAATGTTTCAAAGCTATCTTGGCCTGTCGCGTCTTGCATGTGCCTAAGGGTTGCATCTACCCGTATGGATTACGTGCGGCTCGGCCAGTGCTTTGGTGTGGTTCCCAAAAGTAAGTTGAATTTGGCCCAGCAATATAATTGACGTTTTAGAACGGTTAATTACGGTAAATAGATATGTTGTGACCAGTTTCGTGGTCGGTGACATGGCACACCCGATAAGGTCTGTAACGATTAGCTGTCACTGATATCGCAAGCACGAGCAGGCCAGTTTCGCCCGTCAAGTTCGACCGATCCTATGCTCGATAATGGAACGGGCTCAGCAGCTTCAGGCATTGGCCCATTACAAAAATAACAACACATACGTTATGTTTTTGTTCTTCTGAAACGTTTTATTAGACGCTTGTAGCGCATAGTACGACAAGCTGAAACGCAGATGCATTCAGATTCAGCTCAGCCCGACCTGAAGTAATGGCATTTGGGCAGGAACGCATTCAAAGTAATTGAATTCTCGGGCTCATCATTAGTCCAGGCATCATTCTAAGAACCGAGGCTGCTGCTGTATCATCAGTTTCGAGGCGCCTCAAACTATAGTCTGTGAGACGAAGGGCCGAGGCTGTTGTTAGCATCAAAGCGACTACGGTTTAGAAGTCGGCAGTGTGTAAATCGCGAGCACGATTGGTAGGAGGCAGCGCAAGGAGCAAAGTGTGTGTGAGAGAGCGAGAGTAACGAAGTGAGGAAACGAGTGATTGTGAGTGAGTGAGTGAGTGAGTGTGAGAGAGAGTGAGAGAGCAAGCAGCATGTCGATGACGGTACAGGAATACCTCGATCGCCACAAGCTGTCGCTGCGCATAGAGGAGGCGGTCAATGCGGCCGTGCGAGCGAAAACGGACGAACCAATCGCATTTATCGTAAGTCTACCAGGTAGTTCTCATTATACACCGACTCATTATGCTCACAGGCTGTCGCTGCGCATAGAGGAGGCGGTCAATTCGGCCGTACGAGCTACAACGGACGAACCCATCGCATCATTGTAGGCTCGCTCGTTAACACTCGTTGTAAGCTCAACCGTTTCCACTCGTTACAAGCTGACGCGTTTGTGTCAGATTCTATACACTCGGACTCGTTAGAAGAATCACTGACTCCCCTCAGTGTGAGGGGACGCGTGGAGATGGACGCACCGGGGACTTGGGAACCACTCATAGCATTCACATACCCCCCTTTCCACGTGTAGAGAGGGTATTTTTGAGACGTCTCAAAAATACCATCTCAAAAATACCCTCTCTACACGTGAGGGGACGCGTGGAGATGGTCGCACCGGGGACTTAGGAACCACTCATAGCATTCACAAACCCCCCTTTCCTTCCCCATGCCAGCACCTTTTCAGCGTGAAGGGGCGCATGGTGCTGGACGCACGCGGGGTGCCGATGGTGGCGACTCAATGATCACTTGGCATACCAACCCCCCTTTCCTTCCCTTCCTCCTTCCCATCCCTTCGCAGGCGCGCCATCTGCAGCGCGCAGCCCCCTCGGTGATTCTGAGCGTGAAGGGGCGCATGGTGATGGATGCACGGGGGGAGCCCACGGTGGAGGCGGAGGTGGGGTCTCACAGGAACCACACACCCCAATGTCCCCCACTATGTTCCCTTATCTCCTCCAGGCGCGCCACTTGCAGCGCGCAGCCCCCTCAATCATTCTAAGTGTCAAGGGGCGCATGGTGCTGGATGCACGGGGGGAGCCAACAGTGGAGGCGGAGGTGGGCTCGCACAGGGGCAAGTTCCGCGCCTCTGTTCCTACCGGCGTTACATCTGGCATGTGAGGATTGCATGTGGCATGTGAGGGCGTTACATCTGGCATGTGAGGATTGCATGTGGCACATTGAGGTTCACAAGTGGCATCGTGGAGGCGGAGTTGGGCTCTCACAGGGGCCCCTCTGTGCGTTACATCTCGCATGTGAACGTTGCATCTGACATGTGGCAGTTGCGTCTGGAATGTGTGAGTCATGCGAGGTTTGCGACCGGTTTTGAGAGTTCTCAAAAACCAAGTAGAAACAATCTGGAACGCATAGAAATGCCTTCTCAAATAAGCAGCCCTTAGAGTATTTTCCTCCCGAAAGGACCTCACCCGACCAGAACCAAACCGACTCAACCTGACCCAAACCGAACCGGCCCGACCCGACCAACCCGACCTGAGCAGACCCAAACCGACCCGACCTGATTTGAACCGAACCTACCCGACCCTACTCAACCCAACCCATCCCGATCCGACCCGACTCGATTTGAACCCACCCGACCGGACCCGACCCGACCCGACCTGACCTGACCCGACCCGACCCGACCCGACCCGACCCGACCCGACCCGACCCGACCCGACCCGACCCGACCCGACCCGACCCGACCCGACCCGACCCGACCCGACCCGACCCGACCCGACCCGACCCGACCTGACCTGACCTAACATGAGTTGTACCAAGTCCTGGTGCGTTTATCCCCGTCCCCCCCGCCGCCCTGTTCTGTTGTTGCTTGCAGCTATGAAGCAGTGGAAGTGCGGGACGGAGACGAGGGAATCTTTTCCGGGAGGGGCGTGCAGCGGGCGGTGGGGAATGAGCGACGCGATTGCAGCAGCGGTGGTGGGGAGGGACCCTCGCGAGCAAGGGGAGATCGACCGGCTTATGGCTGCTGAACTGGACCAGACTGACAACAAGGTGGGTGGGAGTGAAGGAAACACGGGGGAAAAAGGGGAGATGGGGATGGTAAGGGAAGGGAAGGGATCCTCATGAACAAGGGGAGGGGAGATGGAGAACAGACTGATGGAGACTGATGGTGGCTGAACTGGACCAGACCAGATAGACAACAAGGTGGGGTGCGGTGGGGGTTGAGGTAAGCGCCAATGTCATTCGTCCCCTCGTCCCATCCCCTCCCCTCCTCTCGCCACCCTCTTTCACGTCTCCTCTTTCACGGCGAGCGCTTCTCGCAGTGTCTCCTTCTCTCACTTGCTCCTTCACCCCCTTGAAACCCTCACCCCCTCCCCTTCGCCCCCTCCTCCTCTCCTTCCTCCCCTTCGTCCCTCCCTCCTCTCCTTCCGCCGCTTCGGCCCCCCTCCCCTCCTCCTCTCCTTCGCTCCCCCCTCCTCTCCTTCACTCCCCCCTCCTCTCCTTCGCTCCCCCCTCCTCTCCTTCGCCACCCTGTTCCCCACTCTCCTTCAGGGTCAGCTGGGAGCGAATGTGGTTCTTGCTGCGTCTGTGGCCGTATGCCAGGCACGCCCTCCTTTTGACCCCTCGACTTTTGAGGAGCCTAAGGAATAAATTGCGAGTAGAGAGACGACTTTTGAGCCCCCCCCTTGTCTTCCTCCTCCCATAACCCCTCGTCCTCCTTCCCGCTCCCCTCGTACCCTCTCTCACTCCCCCCCTCCAGGTCGAGCTGGGAGCAAATGCCATTCTCGCCGTGCCTTTATCTCACACTGACTCCTTTCATCCCCTCATCCCTCCCCCCACCCATTCCCCTCGTTCCCCTCCTCTACACCCCTCTCCCCCCGCCTCCAGGTCGAGCTGGGAGCCAGTGCCGTGCCTCTGGCAGGCAGGCCTTCCTTGAGACAAAAGTCTCCCATACCCCCTCACTCTCCTCCCCCAAGTTCGAGCTGGGAGCAAATGCCATTCTCGCCGTGTCATTGGCTGTGCACCAGGCAGGGCAGGCCCTCCTTCTAAGACGTCTGAAAAGTCACCCACTGCCACTGCCCCTTGCTCCTTCCACCCGCCTCGTCCCCCTCCCCCTCCCCCTCCAGTGCCAGCTGGGTGCAAATGCTATTCTATTCTCGCCGTGACTCCTCTCTCTCACACGACCCCCACTCCTCTCTCTTTCCTCACGCTACCCTGTTTGTTCCCCCTTTCCGTCAGGGCGAGCTGGGAGCAAATGCCATTCTCGCCGTGTCATTGGCAGTGTGCCGGGCAGGCGCGGCAGAGAGAGAGGTGCGAATATGAGTGCGCAAGAGAAGGGGAAGGGGTAAGGGCTGGGGTGTTTTGTGGAAATTTGGAATGCCGTTCTCGCCATGTCGCTGGTCGTGTGCCAGGCAGGCGCGGCAGAGAGAGAGAGAGAGGTGCGAGTGTGTCTGGGATGGAGGAGGGGGGAAAGGAGGGGGTGTGGAAAGTTGAAGCGTCAGGGAGAAAAGGATGTGTCGCTGGTCGTGTGCCAGGCAGGCGCGGCAGAGAGAGGGGTGAGAGCTGGTGTGCGTGGGAGAGGGGGGCGAAGGGGTTTGTTATGGATGGAAAGCTGAAGCGTCTGGAAGAAAAGCATATGTCTCTGGCTGTGTGCGTGGAAGAGGGAAAAAGGGGGGACCCGAAAGAAGCGGATGTTATGGAGAGTTGGCATGCTATTCCCGCTTTGCCTCTGGCAGTGCGCACATGATTGCAGCTCCCTCTCACTGCACAGCTACATCTCCTCCCATGCAGGACTTTGATCACAGGAGGGAGCTGGGGCTTCGATCTGTAGGCGTCCAGTGGGAGGGAGCTCCCATCACTGGACGTGAGATGTAGGCGTGATCGGAGCTCCCTCCCCCTCTGCAGATCACGCCTACATCTCACGCCCTCTGCTTTTTTCTCCCCCTCTTCTCTTAATTCTTTCTTCTCACCACAATCGCAGCTGCCACTGCACGAGTGCATCGCCTCCCTGGCAGCAGTGCCCCACCGCTCTCTTCCCGTGCCAGAGTTCAGCCTTCTCGCCTTTCCACTTGCTGCCAACCCCCATGCCTCGTGCGTGCCCCCTCCCACCCCTGTTCGCAGCTGCCACTGCATGAGTACATCGCCTCCCTGGCAGCGGTCCCCCACCCCTCTCTCCCCGTGCCCGAGTTCGCCCTCCTCTCAGGCGCCCTCACACCCCCCTCTGCTGCTTCGCCCCCCTTCCACGTGAGTTGGGTTGAGTTGGGTTGAGTTGACACTGAATACAGTGAATGAGTTGAGCGGCATGACAGCCTAGTGAGTTCGTCCTCCTCCCTCTCAGGCGCCCTCACTCCCCCCTCTGCCGCCTCGCCTCCATTCCACGTGAGCCTTGAGTGAGATAGTCAAGTGCCATATCCTTTTTCTCTTGAGGCGCCTCGAAAGTAGGCCCTTCCATTCACATGAGCCTTGAGTGAGATAGTCAAGTGCAAAATTCCTTTTCTCCCTCCTCATCCCCATCTCCATCCCTCCCCCAGTCGCTCTCTATCCTGCCTCTGGGCGCATCAACATTCGCAGAGGCTGTGCGGATTGGAGCAGAGGTGCAGCACTGCTTGCAGGTGTGAGGGGGGGAAAAGGAGAGTGTTGGTGAATGGGGGAAGGGGGAGTGCAGAGTATGTGGGGGCAGATGTGCAGCACTGTGTGTGGGGGGAGGGGGAGGGTGTTGGGAGGGAGACAGGGGGTGGGTAGGGAGAGAGGGTGTGTGGGGAAGGAGAGAGGGTGGTAGGGAGAGAGAATTCGAATTACATCACGTACAACCATATAGAATCCAATCGCATCGCATCGAGTCACATCATGACACAAATCGCCTCGTCCAACCCAATCCCATTCCACCCCTTTCTTCTGCGTTCAACCGCATCTCCCTCCAGGCCCTTGCTGCGGAGCGGTTTGGGTCTCCAACAGCAGCGCTGGTGACTGATGACAGCAGCTTGGGGCTGCCCCTCACAAGGTACGGTTGACTTGATGATATCTTGCAGTGCAATGGCAGTATTGCCAGAACGAGAGCCTATGCTCTGTGTGCGTGTGCGTGTGTGTGTGTGTGTGCGCGCGCGCGCGCGGTACCACATCTGTCAGCAGCAGCAGCAGCAGCAGCAGCAGCAGCAGCAGCAGCAGCAGCAGCAGCAGCAGCAGCAGCAGCAGCGCTGGTGACTGGCGGTGGCAGCCTGGGCCTGCCTGTTGGAAGGTGTGGTTGACTGAATAGTGGTAAACCTTCTGCCGTCGTGCTGCGTGCCAGACTATATTTGACTGAATGCTGTCTTGCCGTGCAAAGGCTCTGTCGCCAGAACGAGGGCCTGTGATGTGTGCGTGGGTGAGAGGAGGAAGGGGGTGGGGGGCGGGGGGTTGTGCACGCCCACGTGTGGGTGCATGCTGCCCAATGGGAGGTGGGGCTGACTGAGGGGGCATCCATATTTGTGTTGCTTTTGAGAAATTTCAAAAGTAACACCAATTTAACTGAGGGGGCATCCATGTTTTCTGTTCCCCTTCTACCCTCCCACTCTTCCTGTTCCGCTTCCATCCTGATGTCCATATTTCCATTTGTGAATGGCAAATGGCGAAGGCTCTTCCGTCACTGACGTTTCGTCATCTAAACTCCCTCGCTTTCCCACATGCTCCTTCATTCCAGCATTCTTAACCCATCATGTTCTCCCCCAACCGCATCCTTAACTTCCCTATTCCCGCCTTCCCTCATTCCCCACTACCCCCTCTCTTCCCACACCACTGATTGCATAAATGACTTATGGAAGCTGCTTCCGCATCCACTCCCCCATTTCGCCCCCTTTTCCGAGTCCTCAGTTCTGCAACTTCCCTCCCTCCCCCCATCCCCTGCCCCCCCACTTCTCACTAGCCCCCCTTTCAGTCTCCCCTTTTTCCCCAATCCCCCCTCTCCTCCCCTACTCACTACCAGAATACCGGAGAGTCGTTGCAGCTGCTGACGTTTCCCTATCCCCCCTCTCTTCCAATTCTTACCCCCATCCGTTTGTCCGCTCCAGGAGATGGACCTCCTTGTTCCGCTCCACCTCCCCTTCCCCTCTCCCCTCCTCACCTTCCCGTCTCCCTGCCACACACCCCCACTCCTCCTCCCCCGCCCAACCAGCATACGGGATGGTCTGCAGCTGCTGACGTCAGCAGTGGCAAAAGCAGGGCACACTGAGAAAGTGAAGATCAGCGTGCATGCTGCCCTGGGGGGGCGTGTGACAGGTAATTGTAACGGGGAGCTGAGTGGACACACAGAGAAAGTGACGATTTCTTACATGCTGTGTTGGGAGGGCGTGTGTCAGGTTAGTGGAAAGAAGGGGGGACAGGTGATTGCAATGGGGGAAGAAAGGTGCTTGTAACGGGATGTGGAGGGGGTGTTGTTGGGGGGGCGGGAGGAGGGAGGGGATGGATGCTTGTGATGGGGAACGGGGCATGTGACAGGTGATTATAACGAGGGTGGGTATGTCATTAGGATGGGGAAGTCTCATATTCCTCTACAAATCTATCCTGCTTGCATCATCGTAAGTATCCGTCTGACTCAGTTTGTTTCATGCATTCCCAGCCCTAATAGCCAAGAATATATATTATATATATATGTATATATGTATGCATATATATATACATATGTATATATGTATATAGTCACATGTGCATCTCCCTCCCCCATCCCACCACATGGGGCACTATGACCTGAGGATGCACCAGCAGCATCACCATCCCTCCATGCACATTCCCCCATCTTCCCATCCCACCACACAGACGAGGGTCACTACGACCTGGGCATGCAGCAGCAGGATCTGGACGGCAGCGTTGACATCAGCATGACATCAGCCAGCAGCAGCAGTTTGGAGCAAGTGACAGTTCAGCAGCTCATAGACGTGTACCAACAGCTGTGCTCAGGTGAGTTTGCAGCTGCGCTCAGGTGAATTTGCAGCTGTGCTCAGGTGAAGTTGCAGCTGTGCTCAGGTGAAGTTGCAGCTGTGCTCAGGTGAAGTTGCAGCTGTGCTCAGGTGAAGTTGCAGCTGTGCTCAGGTGAAGTTGCAGCTGTGCTCAGGTGAAGTTGCAGCTGTGCTCAGGTGAAGTTGCAGCTGTGCTCAGGTGAAGTTGCAGCTGTGCTCAGGTGAAGTTGCAGCTGTGCTCAGGTGAAGTTGCAGCTGTGCTCAGGTGAAGTTGCAGCTGTGCTCAGGTGAGTTTGCAGCTGCGCTCAGGTGAATTTGCAGCTGTGCTCAGGTGAAGTTGCAGCTGTGCTCAGGTGAAGTTGCAGCTGTGCTCAGGTGAAGTTGCAGCTGTGCTCAGGTGAAGTTGCAGCTGTGCTCAGGTGAAGTTGCAGCTGCGCTCAGGTGAAGTTGCAGCTGTGCTCAGGTGAATCAACAGTTCATGCTCGTGGACCAGCAGCACTGCCAAGGTGCGGCCTTTGAGGTGAATCTTGGAGCAAGTGACAATCCAGCAGCTCATAGACGTGTACCAGCAGCTGTGCTCAGGTGAATCCTGCTCCTTTCCTTCCACTTGCCCATCCTCGTTACAGAGTTCCCCATTGTGAGCATAGAGGACCCGTTTGACCAGGAGGACATTGATGCCACTCAAGCTCTCTCAGAGGCTGGATTCACCCAGGCAAGTTCCTGTGTTCCTGCTTTCACTCAAGGTGATTATATAGTAGACTCAAACAGCACCTCCACCTCTCTCAGAAACTGGTTTCACCCAAACAAGTCCCTGTGTTCCTGCTCCCATGACTCTCACTCAAGCTCTCTCCGGGGTTGGGTTGGGTTCGCTCAGGTGCGTCTTAGGGCTCTTGTTTTCGCACATACCCTCACACATGCCCTCACACATGCCCTCGCACATGCCCTCACTTATGCCCTCCCTCACTCATGCCCTCACACATGCCCTCACTTATGCCCTCCCTCACTCATGCCCTCCCTCAAGCATGCCCTCACTCATCCCCTCCATCATGCGCTGCTTAATGCATTAGCTCATATTGTGTTTTCTCTCACCATCGCCTGGTTTTTTTTACTTGATCTTGTACCTTTTCCTCTTCCTTGCCCATCCTGTTGCTGATTTTTCCTCCGCACCCCACTGCATGGCTCTATGTGGAACCGCCTCCCACCTCATTGCACCACTTGGTTGGCACCACTTGATAAGCAGGTGGTGGGCAACGACCTGTTGGTCTCCAATGCTAAACGACTGGCTCAAGCCATTGAGAGGCGCACATGCAGTGGCATCGCCATCAAGGTGAGCAGTGCTGCATTGCACCGCATGGTAACGCACTGCATCCCCGCGCCACACTCTTTCCCATCCTTTTCCATCATCTCTTCTCATCAGCCCCCCTTGATCGCCACTGTCAGAGGCCCTAGAGGTGGCTAGGGCAGCGAGAGCAGGAAATGCCAGCATTGCCACTCCCTTCCCGTCTCTCTCGCTCTCCCCTTCTTCTCCCGCCAGCTCCCCCTATCGGCACTCCCTCAGAGGCTCTAGAGATTGCCAAAGCAGCAAGAGCAGGTGAAACCAATGCCTGCACTCTCTCTTCTCTCTTCCCCCCTCGCCGCCCCCATTCCTCTCCCGCCAGCTCCCCCTATCAGCACCAGGCCCTCGAGGTGGCCAAGGCAGCAAGAGTAGGTAAAGCCGATATCATCATTCTCTCTTCTCTCTTCCCCCTCTCTCTCCCGCTCTTCTCCCCACCAGCTGCCTCTTATTTGGCACTCCCTTAGAGACCCTCGAGGTGGCCAAAGCAGCAAGAGTAGGTAAGCCAACACCACCATTCTTCTTTCCCTTCCCCCTTCTTCCCACCACCAGCTCCCCCTGATTGGCACTCTCTCAGTGGCTCTAGAGGTGGCCATTGCAGCGAGAGGAGGTGAACCCAACGTTGCCACTCTCTCTTCTCCCTCCCCCCTCTTCTCTCCCGCTTTTCTCCCTTCCAGCTCCCCCTAATCGGCACTCTCTCAGAGGCCCTAGAGGTGGCCAAGACAGCAAGGGCAGCGGGGTGGGCAGTGGTGGTGGCAGGTGGGGTGGGGCGGCAGGGGGACACAGAGGACTGCATGCTTGCTGACGTGGCAGTGGGCATGGGAGCCCAGCGAATCAAGGCCGGGGGCGTGTGTCGGGGCGAGCGATGTGCCAAGTATAACCAGGTGATGCATGCTTCCTTAAGAAAGGGGGAAAAGAGGAAAAGCCTGCTTTATTGGGTTGGCCGGGTTATAGATTCTTCCAAGTTTTATTGCGTCATGGTTTCCATATGCCGTCTGATGGTTCTCTGGTCGATGTCTGTTGTGTTTTGATGGTTGCAGCTTTTACGGATTGAGGAAGAGCTTGGAAGCAAAGCGACTTATGGAGCAGGAACAGCAAATGTGATGCCACCGAGCAAATGAGCGCTAGCAATTGTAGATAGAAAGTACGGTAGGTATTGTTCTTTGAACAGAGTGCCTCTTTGTTATTAGACATGTTAAAGGCAAACTGAACGGACAAGCTTTCGGGTGTATGAGGTGTTGGAGCTTTCACTTTTTTTTTGGAGGCAATGCAAGATACACTATAGAAGCGCGTACGGTACAAGCATAAGAGTCGTAACTCGAAGCTCGCAGCTATACTCAACCGCTTCAAATCCCTTGTGAACCATCAGGAAGCCGAAGAAGATTTCTCAACCGCGCTAACGGAAGAGATACTGGCCAGTCTGCGCCACCCGGGTGGTAACGTCGAGGTGGTGTAAGGTCAACTCGTCGCCACACTACATCCACGCTATATTGCTCTAAAACCTACTGAAATGCCTCTTACCTTCCTGCAAGAGACAGGTGAGAAGGTGATCACAGCTGCCCTGTTCCTGAACATTCTGAGCTTGATATTTCTCTGGTCTTTCTTTCCATCGTGCTTCTGTTTCTCCTACTGCCACACATAAACTCAATGGGAGCTCGTGTCGGGTCGTCCTAATCTGAACTCCTAACGCCTGGTTCGATTATTTGAAGAGTGGCGTCGTCGACTCCTAGCGTCTGTCCATTGTTAGCTTCTCGTGCGCTTCCTGTTGCTCCTTAGTAGCCTGATCGCAAGCTGGTGTTTCCTCGCGTTCTCCACTCCCGTAACGATCTTCGAGCTGTCAATGTCAGTTCACCATTCTATGCCTGTTTCGGACCATCCGACCTTCATCGCGCGTCGCTTTCCTTTTTTACGATGCCTTTCATCTAGATTCAAAGTTCTACTCCTCTCAACCCTTCTTCTCCTCTCGTTACTTATTTTCTCGTCGCTATGTTTTCTACCAAGATAGTCTTATCTTCCTGTTTCTTCTCGCTACCCCAGCCATTTTCGCTATTCATTTTGTTTGCCAGATGTTCTTGTTTTTGTTAATTTGATCACCCATAATTTTATTACCGGAAACCGTGACTTGTTTCCTCCCTTGATTTGCTATCAGTTACTCGGTGGTGACTACTCCGAGTTGAGTGTGGGTAATATGGACGATGCATCACAAACACCCCATTTACACCACCACCACCGCAAGCGACGGCGAGGTTGGGAGAAAGGGCCATATGTGCGTGTGCACTACGAGAATCTGTCAAAGTAAGCAGTGAGATTTCTGTGAAAATCTTGTGACATTTGTGTGATGTTCATGTGACATTAGTCTGACGTTTCCTGACATCGTTGCCTGACATTTGAAGTTACATTTTTGTCTGGCATTACGTGACATATATATGACTTCTGTCTGATATCCACTTAGCTACATTGAGAGGACGTCTAGCATTCACGTGACATTTGTCTGTCTTTCATGTGGCATTTGTCCGACATTCATGCGTTCTTTACAAGAAACACGTACAATAGGTTCATTGCTGAACTTGTGCCAATCATATCTCTGTATGAGTTACTGAGGCAAGGTGATGCACGGCTGCCAAAAGACCCTGTAGTTATGCATATTCCATCCTCCTATGCTCATGATCTTGGAAACTGGACTGTGACCATGCATGTGACTATGCCTGTGTCTGTGACTGACCGTGCTCCTGTTGTGATGCATCTGACATGTCTGCGAATGTGCAATTTTGATGTGATCTTAGGGCAAGCTTGGATCATCTTCAGAACCTTCTGTCCTCGTGGTCATCATGGGAGTCCACTCAAACCCCATTCGCTGTAAGCACAGACTCTATCCACTGTAACTAACCACAGACCCGATCATGTTCGAGAATAATTTTAATCCGCTGTAAGCACAAACCATACACTGCTCAACCAAAGGCTTGCTCCTGTTGATTCGAAACTATAGTTTATCGTCTCGTGCTGCAATCTACCACTGGACCGATTGCAGCTTGTGGCTTCCTCTTGTTCGTCTTATCTCCTCTTCTCTCTTCATCTCTCTCCTCTCGTCTCCTCTCCTCTATCTTATGGATGGCACCTGCAGGAACGCGAGGGGCAGGAGCAGCAGAGCACGAGGCTGAGTGGAACGGACGTCTACTTCCCCTCCTCTGGGCCGTCCTCTGCAGCAGTCCCCTCTGTTCTCTCTCGCCTTGGTCCCGTGGGCTCGTTTCGCTCTCCTGGGGCTTCAGAGCGTGGATCCATAGCACCACTGGTGGGTTCTATTTTCTTTTTTGTTGCTTGGTTGCATTCTTCTTTCTCGTGGTGGCCTGTTTTCTCTCGTTGGTGCCTGGATTGGATTGGCGCCGGCTGTAGCACCGATTATGGGTTGATTTTCCCTATTTTGGTGGTCTGAAAGGCACTGGCTCATGTTGTCTTTCGCACGGACAAGAGGAAGCCTGGTTAAGTTGCTGCACTCCCGCACAGTTCAAGTGATACACTCTATCCTGGCAAAACCCACGTGGCTTAAATCCAGGGTATGTTATCATTTTACACTGAACCAATGTGTTTTGTGCTGGCGAGTGCTCTGAATCGATGCGCGTTCTTTTTCGCGCATAGTCATTATCCTTTCTTTTTCCCTTTTTCCTGCTCTCTTCCCTTCTTCCCTCTCCCTTCCCTTCTCCCTCTCTCTCACCTTCTCCCTCCTCCTCACTCCCCCCATGCAGCGTGTATGGGCCGCTCTACCCCCACCTAAGCCACTGCTTCCCTCTTCGCCTCCTCCGAAGCAGCCACAACCGCCACCTGCTGCTGCTGAGCCTCCTACTGGCTCTCCTGGTGCTGTTGGTGCTGACAATGCTGGTGGGGATGTTAATGCTGGTGCTGATGCAGGTACCGATGTTGCAGGTGCTGTTGCATCTCGTAGTGGTGATGGTGCTGGTGCCTCCGCTACTGCTGCCTCTGATTCCACTGTGATGCTGCTTTGAGTGCCGCTGCTGCAAGTGCTGCTGTTGCAGGCGCTGCTGCCGCGACTGCTGCCGCGGTTAGCAGGGCTGGAGCTGAGAACACAGGCACCAGAGGCACTGAAACTACTCCTAGTGATGCAGCAAAGACAAGGGTCAGCAGCACCAGTGTGGCTTTGTCAGGGGTTCGCAGTGGTGTCACGTTCAATAAGCACTACAGCACAGCCAACGACGTGCCTCTCTATGATAGGTCAGAATCAGGCGTCGTTTTAGGCATCCACGTCAGCAGCAACAGCAGCAAGAGCGCAGGTATAGGTGCAGGCAGTAACGAGACAGAAAATGACACTAACGCTCCCTCTGACATAGCACCAGAAGCAGCAGCAGCAGCAGCAGCAGTAGCAGCAGCAGGAGGAGACCTTTCCACCCTCACGCCCCTCTTCCTCCACACTGACTCCTCTCTCACAGAGGAGGCGCTCAAGTTAAAATATGCCGCCCGCTGCTTCAACTGCGGCTCCTACACTCACGCTCTGCGGGACTGCCAGCGCCCAAGGGACCATGCAGCTGTAGCAGCCGCTCGGGCAGAACACGCAGGGGGGAAGGGGCAAGGCGGGCAGGGTGGGAAGGGCGGGAACAGTGCGGCTGGGGATGGAGGGGTGGGGAAGTCGAGGTATTACGGGTTTGGAGGGGCGGGGGGCGGGAAGGGGAGAGGAGGATCGATGGAGGAGAGGTTTGAAGGGCTCGTGCCGGGCGTGCTCAGTGCGGAGCTGCGTGCTGCCATGGGCATAGGGGTGAGTCTGGGTGTGTAAGGGAAACTAAGGTTTGGGTGTGCTGCTCGTAAACTCGAGGCCTGTGAGGCTCGAGGAGGATGAGATGGAGAAGAGGTTTGACAGGCTCGTGCCGGGTGTGCTCAGTGCGGAGCTGCGTGCTGCCATGGGCATAGGGGTGAGTGATTTGGAATGCGTGAGGGGACTTGAGATAAGTTTGATGTGAGTTGATGTGTGTCGCTGGTAAAGGTGAGTCTCAAGGGGGGATGGATGGAGGAGAGGGTCCAGGTTGAGGTTCAGATCCAGGGGCTGCTGTCAGGTGTGCTAAAAGCAAGGCTGCATGCTGCCATGTGCATAGGGGTAAGTTTGATGGTTCGTGATCCCACTGCGTGTTCCAGGCAGATGCTAGAGAGCGCCACTAGTACTGTGTCTGTAAAGCGCAACTTTTTCCATTCCCCTTCTCATTTTGTCATCGCCTCCTCTACAAGATAGTGGCTCTCAGGCGAATGCAGGAGCTGGGGTGTCCACCGGGCTTGCTCGCCAGGGCTGTGGCTGTGAAACTTACTCCCTTCATCTCCCTTCTTCACATTTCGTCCCAACCTCCTTGGCAGGATCGTGACCCCCTCTGTGGCTCAGGGAAATGCACGAGCTGGGGTACTCTCCTGGCTCGCTCGCCAGGGTTTAGGTTGTCAAACTCGACTCTGTTCTTCCTGCTTCATTTCTTTTCGTAACCCCCTCCTCTGCAGGACCGCGACCCACCGGCATGGCTCAGGCGAATGCGGGAGCTGGGGCACCCGCCTGGCTTGCTCTCCAGTGCTGTGGTCGTCAAACTCTACTTTGTACATCCCCCTTCGTTTCTTTTCATCCCCCCCTCCTCTGCAGGATCGCGACCCACCACCATGGCTCAGGTGAATGCGGGAGCTGGGGTACCCGCCTGGCTATCTCGGCTGTAAGTTTCGACCCAACTCGAGGAATTTGACTTAAGAGCTGACTCGAGATAGTTGTCTCAAAGCCCACTTAGAGAGCTGGGGTACCCGGCAGGCTATCTTGGCTGTAAACTGAAACTCTCTTCGGCTGGGCGAATTACTAGTTCCTCTAGGTCATCGCGTCCCCCCCCCCTCCTCCCTCTCTTCCTTCGTAATTTTTTACTTGAGCTGCTTTGTTCCTCTCCTCCCTTCATCCAGACTTTTCTCCTTGTCTCCAGTTCTTTCCCAGCGCCTTTTTTTCTTTTTAAATCAGCATGACTGCACTCTCGGCAGAATTGATCCACATGGTGCCTTCGCCCTCCCTTCATGATGTCTGGTCCTGTGTGTTCTAATGAGCAGACGAGGAGGAGAAGGCAGAGGAGAAAGGCCAGGAAGAAGCAGCAGCGGCAGCAGCAGCGGCAGCAGCAGCAGTGAAGGCTTCAAAGGAGGAGGGAGAGGACAGTGATAGCGAGGCAGGAGAAATCCCAGCAGAGACGAACATTGAAGGAAAACCAGTCAAAGAGAAGGCTGCTGCTGCTTCTGCTGCTGCTGAAGACCTGAATGGGTTCAAGTCTCTTGCTCTTGTGCTGGACGATGCTTCCGAGGAAGGTTCCCTTGATGCTGATGGTGGTGGGGATGGGGGGCGTGAAACGACTCCTGAACCCGAATCTTTTCTTGTTCCTACTGTCGAGTTTCCGGGCTTGAATGCTCCTCCCCCCGAGGATGGCGATGAATACGCGTGGGGAGGGAGGGGGTGGAGGGCGGATTGGGAGGAGAGTGAGAGGAGGAGGAGGTTGAGGTATGAGGATAAGAGGTGGGAGGAGGAATGGAGGAGGAGGCGAGAGAGGGAGGAGAGGGAGAGGGGTAAGGAGGGAAAGGGGGATGAGGATCAGAGGGAGAGGAAGCGGAGGAGAATGGCTAGGGATGGTTCTGCCGATGAGAAGAGAGAGGGAGGTAAGAATGATAGGGAGGGAATGTCTGGAAGGGATAAGAAGGGTGAGAAGGACAGGGAAGGGGATAGAGACAGAAGAAGGGACAGGAGCAAGGAGAGGGGAAGGGACAGAAGCAGGGAGAGGGGCAGAGACAGAAGCAGGGAAAGGGGCAAAGACAGGAGCAGGGAGAGGGGCAGAGACAGGAGCAGAGAGAGAGGAAGGGACAGAAGCAGGGAGAAGCGACGGGAGAGAAGCAGGGAGAGGAGAAGAGAGACGAGTAAGGAAAGGGACAGAGACAGAAGCAAGGAGAGAGGAAGATACAGGAGCAGGGACAGAAACAGAGACAGGAGTAAGGAGAGGAGCAAAGATAGGAGCAGGGAGAGGAACAGAGACAGAAGCAGCGACCGAAAGAGAGATGCGGATGAGAAGAGGAGGGAGGAGTGGAGCCCAATTAGGGTTGAGGATGACAGAGGTGCTTATGAGGGAAGAGAGAGGAGCAGAGCTGGCGACACTGATTCTGACCGGTGGCAGTTGGATCGTGACAGGTGGCATGTGGGCAGTAGCAGCTCCTACGGGGCTTATCTGGACCAATCCCGCTACGACTCATCATCACGGCGACATGACGATTCAGCCAATGATCGATATGGAGGTGCGTGTGGTGCTGCTGCCAATCCGCCTTCTGCTTTACTCTCTGCTTTTGAGGCTGCCCCTCCAAGGGGGGGAGGGAGTGCGGGAGCGGTTACAGACGCAAGGGGGGTTGTCGGTGCTCGTGCTAGTTCAGCTGTGCTGTCATGGGCGGCTGGGATTGAGAGTGAGTGCGGCGATGATGGTGGCGGTGGTGTGCAGCTGGACATGTACCAAGACTACAATCAAGGCTCAGCAGCAAGAGGAGCTATCACTGAAGCACCACCTTCAACCACCACTTATTCTGGAGCAGCAGCGAATGTCACCCAGACTCCAGGATATTCACAAGTGCCTTCGCAGTTCACATACAGTCATACCCAGTCAGCCATCTATCCTCCTGAGCCACCGTCTCATACCCAGCCCACTGCAGTCCCCGCTCCTATGCCTTGCCTCCAGCCATCACAAACACTCTTTCCGCCTGGAACAACCAACTATACTCCTCTTCCACCTCTTCCTCCTGGCCCTCCCCCTCCCCTGCCTGACAGCTCTTCTTATCCCCCATTGCCTCCTGGACCCCCCCCCCCATTATACCCCTATCCTGCGTCTTCTCCGCCTCCACCTCTCCCAGCAGCACCTCCGCCTTTCACTCCTCCCCCGCCTGCCTATCCCCCCCCTCCCTCGCCTGCATTCTTGTCCCCACCTGCGGGAGAAGATGCAACTCCCCCACCTTACCTGCCAGCATATCAATGGTGACAGAACATATACTAGTGTCATTCACTGGATATGGATGCATGTCTACGCTACACTGTTGTCCAATTTTGCATTGCTCGTACTGATTGCTAGGCTTTCCACCTATTTTCTAACATGACCAATAACCATCTTACCGGTAATATTGCAGCATGCAAAACAGTACCCTTCGTATAAAACCAAGCAGCAACTACGGTTACAGCCTGTGGTGGTGACAGCAAATTGGTCGCATGTACTTGCTTTAGGTGACAGACAGGTTCTCAATGTCTGAACCAGGGCACTCAATGTTCCCCATCTGCAGTACTGTGAGGTTGCACGACAACGTTATGGCTGATTAAACCTACCCACCCGCCTTTACTTCTGCGTGTAGCCAGCTTAATCGAATTGATATCAAGCCAACGCTGACCATTCCACTCAATTCATCCCCCTCACTGAACATGTCAGTCAAGTGCATTTGGTGTTAAAACAAAGCTGTGGTGCCCAGTAATCACCCCCCTTTCTTTAAGTCAAAGGAACCATATCAGCAGCATTGCCAAGGTACTGCCAAAGGCTGCATGTGTCAGAGTGATCCAGTGTTTCCTTGAAGAGCCTTTCAGCATGCTGGCTTGATCCATGCCAAAAAAGAAGATGCACCCATCCTTCGATGGATCAGTGCTGACAATCTGAGCAGAACCCCCGAAGTCACATGATGCCTTGCTTTGGTTCTGAAGCTGGTAGTAGGAATTGAAAGCGTATGAAGCAACGTCCTCCAGTTTGTTATTGAAGTAGCATGAACTTCCTGGCAGGACTGGGGTGCAATCCACACTTTTATCGCCCCCACAGACGTATGTCAAAGCAGCTGCAACATTTGCAGGATTAGCTCCTTGCTTCACCACGCACCATTGACGCAAAAAGAATGCCACGTCTTTTGCTGGCACAAGCTGAGCATTCGGATTGCCTTTCCCTGTAAGGTCTAGGTTGTACTTGAGGGTTCCATCGGCACGGAAGATGCCCCAATGCCGCTCAAAGGTTCCAGGTAATGTGCTTTTCATGTCTTCGTCCAGTAACCCAAAAATGAATCCTCCAATTTGCTTGGCAGGGCGCAAAGGAGTGCCTGATCCGCTTAACATGTGCTGGATTATGGCATTGTTGAACTCTTGTGCATACGAATTGTTGGCATATGCATTGAGTGAACCTTGCGCATCAGAAGGCCACCCAATCTCGCCAATGATAATTTGCAGCTGTGAGCAAACAGACGGGGAGGTGAATATGCCTCAAGGTACGGCAAAAAAAAAAGGCTGGATGACTTACATCTGGAAAGCCAATCCTTGAAAGCGCTGTCAAGATCGCATCATAGGTGCTGTCAAACACATTCGTGTAGACCAAGCCAGTCCCTGGATCTGTGAAATTCCGCTCATTTGGTCTATCCAGGAATATATCGCCCATTGTGAAGACTCCTGGTTGTTGATATAAGTTAAGAAACGGGTAAATATTAACTGAAAACGGGGCTCCTGTTTCACTGAATAGTGAGACAATTCTTCGCATCTGATTGGCAATGTCTGGCCGGAAGGATGCTTTGGACGGAGGGTATGACGTTCCCATGACGTCAGCATTAAACGCGACAGTAACCTTAATCTTCTGGTCCAATCCAGCAGCCTTTAAAGAGTCATAGATGTTCTGAACGGCTGGCGCCAAAACGAGGTTATACTCTCCATTGTCCCATGTCAGAAACGGCTCATTTCCGACAGAGACGTATCTGAGACAAAAAAACGTTTCACGCTTAGCCGCAGATGCAGGGCTCAACATGCATCTTGGCCTCTTGGTGGTAATCTTACCTTATATCGGCGCCTCCTGGGAACGCGTATCTCTTGACGTTATAGTCAACCCAGTCCTGAGCCTTCTTGGGACTCATGGCCATGTCGTTCAGCAGTTCATTGGCTACCATCACCGTCACCTAATGAGACAGAAGTCAGGGACACTAGCTAGCAGAAGGATGATGCAAAAATGCAAGGGAAACCGAACGCACCTCCAGCTTGGACCCAACGAGGGCCTTCATGACTTGCGGGTCAGCATTGAAAAGTTTCACTTTGGATATTTTGTTGTCCTGTAGAGAAGCTGTAAGAATCGGACGCACATACGGATGTTAAAGAAATGGAATAGTACACCTACCTGAAGAAGTTTCACAACGATTCGCGGTGGTAACGGCTGCCATGCTACTCTTCCCCAACAGACTCCGATGGAGGATGCATCAAAGGACTCAGCAGACGCAACAACGAGGAAAAATAGTTGAGTCGCGAACGACGCCAAGAATCCACGACCCACATTGTGTAGCCTGAGCCTCATTCTCGATTCCTGGTGAGCCATTATCGTCTGCTAAGACCTTAGAGCATACCCGTAAGAGGATGTCGAACTCTTTCTTCTAGAAATAATACTCAGAATCTTGATCGAACGAGCATGTCATGGCGACGCAACTACCAAGTGTGCCTGGCGGTTTTTGCGTCCTGACAGGTGCCTGGTGGCTGACACCAATATTCCTGGCATTCTGCTGTCGTGTCAGAACGACACATTGAATGAACCGTACGCTGTACTAGCCACATCCAATCTATCGCGCACGATAATATTGTTTGCTAAACCTGTTTGCATATCCTGAACCCAGAAAGGGAAACGTGTTTTTCGTACAAACCATTGTCATAAATGGCATAAATCCAAGCTGAAATCCTCAAACCTTGTTAACTAGGTGGCAAAAATATCCCCTAAATGTGACCCCTTATTAGCAATGAGCTAGAAGTTGAGTACCAGTATTTCGGATACAGTGAGAGGTATTTCCAACCCCCCAGAAGGCGAAGCCCCTGTACACTGTACACCTAATGATGGAGCACCTTCGGGACTCCCATGTCCGCCGGAACCCTGAGTAACACAATGATACGAACCAACACATGCATAAGTTAGCCCGTAAGCATCATACCACAAAACACAAGGGGCAGCTCAGATAAAAGACAAGAAAAAGGACAGCAACAGGGTTTCATAGGGCGTTGAGGGCTGTGAATTCTGGAACCAGTACAGATGCAGCTGAAACAATTTCGAATGCTATGGTACACGAGGGAAGGGACGTGGATGTAAAGAGGTGAACAATGGTGGGTGGTTGGTGTGTTTGGTTGAAGGCATGTGTGACTACTCATGGTCGCTGGGGTTGGCCTGTGCTTCGTACACAACTGCAGCCACCGCTCTCCGATTGTTCTGAGCACGCACCAGGGGGAGAAAGGGTAGGAGGTGGGAGGGAAGGGGAGGATGTGTGTATGGTGGCACGTGATGTGTGTATGGTGGTACTGATGTGTGTATGGTGGCACGAATGCGACAACACTGGCAGGTGCCTCCATGGTTGCAAAGACGAATCATGTCCTCCTCAGCCCACCAGTCCTCTGACAAATACAAATCCTCTTTAGCCATACTCCTCCTACTCCTCCTCTTTCTGAGTGGCTGTTCCTTTGAGTCCATCCAGCATTTGTTTGTTAGGCACCTCACTCAACTTTCTCATTGTGACTCCTCCTCCTTCCATACCTGAGTGGCCCGTTCAGCATTCGATTGTTACACACCTCTCTCAACTTTCTCCTTGCGACTCCTACTCCTCCCATACCTGAGTGGCCTCTCCTTTGAGTCCCACAAAGTGGATCCGAGAGAAATCACCCCCAAAATTCGAGGGAAAATGGAGGGTGAGAGAGGACACGCCCTGAAACTTTGAGAATCTGGGGAGAGGGGACGGAGGAAGGGAAGGGACGAGATTGGGGGACGATCAGATGCGACTGCAGTGAAGTAAGGGAGATGGGATGGGATGAGGAGAACCGGAGTGAAGGAAGAAATACCTTCTGGGACATGGGAAGATGGAATTTAGGTCCATAACGTGTATTCTGACATAACCTCACATGAGATGGTAACATTGGTTCGACGTTATCAATGATCACACGATTGTATGATCGATATTTACATGGATTGATTTGATAGTGATGCATACACCAAGAGTGGACGTGCTTGTTAAGTTGCTCAAGTTAATAATAGTCGCAGAACAAGAAAATTAAACTGGCGATTACAGTAGGAACAATTGGCCTTACTTGGTGGTGTACTCAAGCTCGCCTTGAAGATTCTCTGTTAAATCCCATTCCTGATACAATCACACGTGCGCCAACAATCAGACACGCATACGTGACAGATGCGTCAATGAATTCGATTCTGTGTGCATAGCAACGAAAGGAAGGAGCGGAAAACATTGCATATGCATAATGTAAGTCGTGTGAAAATCTTTGGTCATCAAATATCATATGTGAGGCCAACAAGTGTTACCTTTTGGACTATCAAATGTTACCTGCACTGCAGTCAGATCATTAACCACAGAGAAATCAATGTCCTCACGATTCGTAAAGCTGCTTGGACGGAGATGAAAGGAGAGGGGAGGGAGGTGAGGTGAAAGAGGAGGACCAGAATTAGGGGGAAAATACGGTGACTGGATTGGATTTGACAGATATTCGGATGAATGCTGCAAATACAAGCAGACGTGCTAAGGAAGGCACACTTACGCTCGCATCTTGGCAGGGCTGGTTCCATCTGCTCCCCCAATAATCGCGATGCTCTTGATTTTCACATCGGTTGTGAATCTGCGCACATTAGTACAGTACAGCGGTGACAAATGTCCCTCAAATGAATACAAAGGCACCAAGAGTGCCCTTCACAAATGTCCCATCTGCTCTCCCCAATAATCGCGGTGCTCTTGATCTTCACAGCTGTTGCGAATCAGCGCAACACAACACATTGGAGAGAAATGTATCTTTAACATGGTTTCAAAAGGGGTTTATAAAGCCTCGGTTCATTGTCTCTGCTTGCACGCAAAGATGTATACTTGTGAAAACACCGGGGTAATTGATTGCATACCAAGTGGTAAGCCCTTTTCGGTAAGAGAGACTAGACCTGATAAATCATGCATTATTCGAGACTGAGGGGGTTACAGAATTATGGAGTGGAAAACAAGAGCTCCAAATCATCCATCTTGAACCTACGACTTGAGGAAGCAGAATTCTGAACAGCAGAGCAATAATGAAACAGCCATTGGCAGACTGACTCACGGAATGAAGAGTATGAGCTCTGGGTCATCCTCGTTACTGTCCAGAGGTTGCTGAGTTCATGCGAGAGGGTGGTAAGGAAGAGGACGGGAGTGAGAGGGCAGGAAGGGAGGGAAGGGGGGAAAACGGAAGGGAAACTGACGACAACGGTAAGATAAAGAAAGTCGAAAGTACATACTACAGTTGTCTAGTTTAATGCATCGGCATGAAGTAGAGCTCACGAAAGATTGCACAACTCTTCGAGAAATAACTGAAGTTTGAACCATCATGTGGAAATGCTGTCCCAACAATTCTCGAAACGCAAAGAGCGTATATGTGCAAACGTCTGAGTATAGGTTCATAGGTTCCAACAACTTACAAGAGCAGCTTACACTTGGAAAGGTCATGCGATCTTCCCAGCTGCGAAACACACCCTCTGCACTCCCCTCCACTGCCTCGTTTAGCGCTCGAACCTGAGGCGAGGTTAAGGAGAGGAAAGAGGTTGGGACATGAGGATGAAACACATTGCGCAATCTTCTTATGTCGGAACACACCCTTGGCGCTCCCATCTGCTACCTCGTTGGGCGCTCGCATCTAGAGTCTAGAGAGCGTGTGGGGGGGGAGGTGGGGGGAGGAAGAAGAAAGGCGATGAGAGAGGGGAGCGCATCAGATTTTCCAGGTGCAGCAGACGGCTTTGGCGCTCCCCTCCCCTGCTTCAACTGGCCTTTGAAAAAATATGTGAGGGATGGATGGAGGGAGGGCAGGGACGGTGGCGGGAGGAAGGGAAAAAGGAAAGGTAGGGGGGGGGGGGGGAGGGATTAAGGAGGGAGAGGAATGGGGTCGGAACAAAAAAGGGAAAATAAAACCAACGAGGCGGCTAACTGGGCAAGAGAACGGTAGGTGAGAGCAGGACCAAAGAAAGGGAGGTGAGAGGAAGGGCGAGAGAACGGGAGACGAGAGCAGGTTCAGCAGGCCGGAAAAAAAGGCAGGAAATGATAATCACCTTAGGAAGGTCGACGTTCTTATAAAGCGAGAAGCCAGCTCCACAGTCATGATCGCTACAGTCATGGTCATGCGAGCATGTGCCGGGTTGCGACATGGTCGGCGTGAACTCCTGACGCTCCCTGCAAGAACAAACCGGCTGTTCTGCAGAATCCTATTTCGTGTGGCCTACCCACTCTGTTTCAAGAAGCGTGCGTTACGCAAAGCAGCTACGAAAGGTGGCGAGGCGAAAGGAAAAGGAACCAGACGGAAGGCGAAATAGCTAGTAAAACGGAAAGGGCTAGATATATTGTATGTCCAAAGGCGAAATTGCCAACAGGTTGAGCCGACTGGGAAGCAAATGCGAAGCAAGAACCAGCAGCAAGATTGCTCGTCTCCACTGCCGTAACATATCTCTAGGGCGTAGAACACTTGATTGCTCGTCTCGTCAATTCGACAATTGTTTAACTTTCTGCTGTTGCCTCAAACGAAATTGTTACAGGCAAACTCACGAAACCAATGGCACTTACAATCTACATAATGCATTAAACACAATGGATAATTGATTTTCCTTTTCTACTTGTAGTACCGTACCCGTTTTCCCAACATGAAATATGATACATTTTATGTGCATGCCACCCGAAGATCACCTGTTTTACTATGCAATTCTACATTGTTAACAGGGCCCAAATTTCAAGGGTATTTTACCCTTTTTGCCCTGCTCATAGGCCACTTTTTGGCAGTTACCCTTTTCAAATCAGGGTATGCAGATTTTTACCCTAGTGCAATCAGAATACGCTTAAAAGTACTCTTGTAGCTTTTCCAGTTACACTGACTGTATCAGGGTAGAGGTTCAACTACCCTTTTACCGGAACTTTTCCGTACCGCGGATTCCGCCACAGTCCGCGCCACGGCGAAATGCTCCACGGTCCCACTGGACCATTTGTTGGATACACCCACTGGCGCGCCAACGTACATTCAGGGCGGATGGCACCGCACACCTACGATTGGTCCGTTGAGCGACATTGAAGCCAACGCACCCAGTTTCCGTGCGTCACGCAACATCGCGCACTGCCAACGGAGGCAAATTGCGCGCCAGGTGGGGTACGTGCTGTCGTTTCCACCACCTGGCAGTCACTGTGGCCTTGCAGCCATTGCCGTGCAGTTCCCTACCAGCGAGGGAACCTTGCTGCATGAGGCGCCTTGGGCTTTGTGATTCCCGAGGGGTCTCTCAGGCTCTTGCCATTCTCTCGTTTCCCTCTCGTTTGTTGTTCCGAATGCCTGCCTCTGAGCCTGATCCGCCTGGTAGCACCAGGAACGGTCTCTCCGTTCTCGGTGTGTTACCTCGGCTGGCTGAGAACTATAGCGTCCCTATCTCTCAGCCTGCGCGTGAGCCATCCCCTGAATTTCTTGTCGGCACCGTTTTCCCGTGCGAGCGTTCGGCCTCGCCAAAGTCCCGGGAGCCACACCCGTCTCTCGAGCTTGTTCCCGATGGCGGTGAAGGCCCGTCGAAGCCGGCCACTGCAGCCCCGTCCACAATTAGCTCCGCGCCCGCGAAGCGACAGCGTGTGGGCGTGACATACAAGCAGCAGAGGCTCTGGGGCGCCCCTCCTCCACGACAAGAGGCATCACCGCCACGCCGTGCTGCTCCTGCTCAGCCGAAGCCTCCAACCGCTTCTGCAGAGGCTGAGTATGAGTTGGTAAAAACGACTTTCGATTCGCAATGGTCAAAGAAATTCAGTTGGCTGCGCTTAATGCGCATGACTAACGGCAGGCCGTCATTGAAATGTGCCATCTGCATCAAGCACGGGGATCCAAACGCGCACACTGCCTACGGCGTCAGAGGTGAGGGTGCCCGAGACATGCAGCTAGGGAGCATCCGCGCGCACACATCAAGCAGAGCCCACAAGCAGGCCTTGGAAAACGAGGCCAAAGCAGACGCGGAAAAGGCGAAGCAAGCCACACTAACAAGGTGGCACAGCACTGATGCAGCTACACGGCACATCATCCGCTGCCTCCACCTCGCGCTCTTCATCTGCAAGGCTGACGCGCCAATAGCAATGTTTGTTCCTTTGTGCTGGTTTCTGGCTAAGGAAGGACTGCCGGACCTTCCACCGTCTGGAGGGTACGGCGCCTACTACACCGAGTAAGTGCGGGTTCGTGGCGCTTGTGTTTGTTCCGTGACTCAAGCTGACCAGATGCTACTGCAACTTGTGTTCGTGTACCATGTGTGTTGTCCTCGCAGCTACGGATTCAAAGAGATGCTGCGCGCAACCTCCACTTACCTTCAAGAGACTCAACGCGACCACCTTCTGGAATCCCCATATATAGGGATTCTTCTGGATGAGAGCACCGACCGGGTGAATGGCAAGCACCTGATACTGTATGCGACATTCTTCAAAGGGGTAACTCCGGTAACGGAGTTTTTAACTCTCATTACCGTGGACCGTGCCGATGCGGCCTCGCTAACCTCCGCTGTTGTGCAGTACCTTACAGGAATCGGGGTGGATCTCCAGAGGATTTCTGGAATATCTACGGACGGGGCGAGTGTGATGACCGGCAAGAACAACGGTCTAGTCGCGAGGCTGCGACTGCGCATACCACACCTGGCTTCAACTCACTGCGTCGCTCACAGGTACGCATGTTGGATTCTGAGTTTTTTCCAGCACAGGATCAGTGACGCGCAAACCGTACTAACATGCTCCAGTTGAATGCGCAGGGAGGCATTGGCAGCTAAGGATGCGGCGGAGGCAGTCCCCGAGCTCGGCATGGTGGACGACGTGGTGCGTGCCTTCTCCGAGCACATCGGCCGCAGCAGCGTGGACTACACCAAGTTTCAGAATCTCCAGCGCGTCTACTGCCAGACGAATCTGGAGGCGCAGGGCATAAACGACGTGCGCTGGCTCTCCCGTGGCGAGGCGATCCAGCGGTTCCTTGACGTTCTGCCTGCCGCCATTGTCGTGCTGAAGGACTACAAGAAGGACTTGTACGAGGTAGTCACCTCGTTCAAGTTCCACTTGCTCATCCGCTTCCTCGTGGATGTGCTCTGGGAGCTCAACCAGCTCAATCTGCGCTTTCAGCAACGTCAGGTAACCAACTGACAAGCACAGTTGTACTTACACGCACGCCTACAATGCTCTTTCTGACCGCATGTCTTATGTGTGTGCAGGTGGACGTCACCCTCGTGGCGCACCTTGTACAACACGGATGCGCCTGAAGACGCGCTACTTCGACAGGTCCCCTGGTCACTTTTTTGGCAGCGGAGAGAAGATGCAGCTGCCTGACTTCATCAAGGCTCACCAGAAGATGGATAAGCGACAGATGAAAGCGGAAGGCGTGGACGCGGACGGCAACGCCGTCTCCTTCGAATTCACCCTGCACGAACGCCCCCTGCCAGGCCATGAGACAGACGGTGATGTAACCGCGTGCTTCGAGCTTTCGCTCAAGTTCATCCGCAAAGTGGACGCGGAGCTGGAGTGGCGCATGCGCGACCTCAACCTCCTCGAAGGCGCCAAGCTGTTTCGTACGGCGTCGTATGTGGCCGACGACACCCAGCGGCTGGAGTCCTTCAGGAAGTGGCTTGGCCAGCTCCACAAGCTGTACAACCACAAGCTGCCTGGTAAGCGTGTTTGTTAGATGGGGCGGGTATTAGTGATTGACTTGCGTAAACAGCTTTGCACCAGCTTGTTTCCCATCGCGCTTGTTGCTACTCATCACCCGGCCTTGTATTGTGGACTAATGCCTCCCAATCCTACCCGTATGTATGAGCGCCTGCCAATGATCATCCCCTTCCGCACTACCAGGGTTCGACTACAAGCGTGCCGGCCAGGAGCTCTGGATGTTTACCTCGACCATGTTCTCCCAGCACAACGGCGAGGAGTTTCATCAGGCGCTGGGGAACATGCTGCGCGACGAGGCGTGGCGTGCGTCGTTCCCCAACATCGTCCGGATGTGGCAGTCTGTCGCCGTGCTACCACTGAGCACGGTTGAATGTGAGCGCGGCTTCAGCAAGCAGAACCTGATCAAGACGTGGGACCGCGGCAGCCTCGGCGACACAAGCCTTGAGCACCTGATGCGGTGCTCCCTCCTGCAGTACGACATTGACTGGTATGAGGTGGTCGCCATATTCCGCGGGGAGAAGCGCAGGCGATCCACCAAAGACTTCTCCGGCATGAAGGCCAGCAGCACTAAGCAGTTTGCAGACGAGGCAGTTGCTAGTGCAGCAGATGTTGATTGACTAGTGTCTTCTGTAGGGCCCTTTATTTAACTTGGTTGGTAGTAAAGCTTGTAGGTGCAGTGCAGAACACTTTAGTGATAACTAAGTAATTGTTGTAGTAGTACAATCTTATGCTTAGGAAGGAAACAGTGTACGACATATATTATCCTGCCAAAATCAGTGTACCAAAACTTTTAGGCTGCTACAATCAGTGTACGAGAAACTTTACCCTACCAGTCAGGGTACGGAGGGGATGCCACCCTGATTTGAAAGAGTGAGCTAAAACCTATTTTGGGCCCTGATTGTTAACACACATCCTCCCACACGTCTCTACCCACCCACCAAGCAGCTCATCAATATTTCTTTTGATGTATGGTTTGAGATTTGTACAGTGCACATCATATATCATTATACCTTACACATGCATGTCAAGCATTCTCTTGAAAAAACACAAATAAAGTCTTTTGCAGCATTCCCTGGATAAGGCACCCTGAGAAAATCACTCCTTATGCCATACAAATCCACATCCCTAGCAACACACATGGCCCCAAACCTCTCGTCAGCCCAGCCAAGCAGCTCCCCAGAGCTGAATTCTCTGCCAAGCCCTCCCAAACTTGCTCCAACAATGTCCTTTGCAACCAGGAGCATTTTCTTCATGTCAATTAAATCCCGGTCGGTGAGTTCGATCCGCCGTATGTGGATATGGTGCCACTTGCACGCAAGGTTTTTGTGCATGCATTCTTTGTAGCTCAACCCCTCGAATTCCGCCAAGTCTCCTTCCTGCGCCTCACCCTTGCGACACATCTTGAGAAAATACGAAATGCCCGAGTTAAGCGAGAGCGAATAGTAGAGCTCGTGCACGACGCCGTACGGCATTATCTCGATTAATGCGGTGGTGCGGCGGGCGAAGAGAGCCACATTGGTGAGTGCAGCTCCATGCAGGGAGATCACAATATCGGCTGATTGAATAGCTTCGAATTGCTGGCGGAATGTCATTTGGCCCATCTCGACCATTGTCACCTGAGGAATGAACAAGTATGGAGACGACAGAAAGGGCTTCAAGTGTTGAGTTGAAAAGTTATATAACCACCCAAGGAGTGCATATCATCCATAACAACCATCACATATTGACACAATCATCTATCGTCACAGACATCTACTACACCACACTGATAGATGCATCCTCCACTCGTTAAATGCATTCACTTGAATATGTTTGGGCTGCCCCAAACCACACTCTGAGGCCTGCCGGCATGGAACCTACCAGGAAACCACCAGGAACGTACCAGGAACCCACCATGAAGCTACCAAAAACTCACCTGCAATCCCAGCTCCTCCATCAGCCTCAGCAGAGCCTCATGACTCTCCGGTAGGAAGGTGCGGCGAAGCTTCAACTCCGCTCCCAGCCGTGTGATATACAGCACTCGCGGCCGCCACCCCCGCATCCCATCCCTCCCCCACTCCACTTTCCCAGGCGGCTCCAGCCCCAGCTTGATTCTCAGGTGTCGGTCCAGGTAGGTGCCTTGGGTGGGGTGAGACGGATACGCCTGCCCCTTGAGAACTCCCGGGAGGAGGAGCCTTTCAAAGCAGAGAGGGGAGTCATCGGTGGCTGCGTTCCATGCGGATTCGAACTCCACCAGCCCGAATGCCATGGGGCTGTCTCCCAAGGTTCTGTGGTCGTGGCTGGTGGGGAGCAGGGATACAGGCATGGAGAGTGTGCAGGGAAATCAGAAGAGCAAGGGTACAGGGAGAGCAAGGATAAAGGGAAAACAAGGGTACAGGGAGAGCAAGGATAAAGGGAAAACAAGGGTACAGGGAGAGCAAGGGAACAGGGAGAGCAAGGGAACAGGGAGAGCAAGGGTACAGGGAGAGCAAGGGTACAGGGAGAGCAAGGGTACAGGGATACCAGGGAAGCAGATAGAGCAAAGATACAGAGGGAGTATGGGTGAGTAAGCACGCCAGAAGAGCACTGCACTGAAGCAGATAGAGCAAGGAAGCTGACAGAACAAGCACGCAGATAGACCAACGACGCAGATAGAGAAAGGATGCAGACAGAACAAGGACGCAGAGGCTGCAGGTATGCAAGCAGTGGTGAGAGGAACAACGTACAGATGGCGAGACATGTGGATGCGAGGGGAGAGCACGGGAGTGACGGCAAACTCTATCATTGCTTGTAGCAACCGCGCGTGCACCGCTTCGCCTCCCTTCATTCTCATCCTAGATACGTGAAACAGAGGGGATGTGACACAAGGGGATGTGTCACAAGGGGATGTGTGACACAAGAGGATGTGTCAAAGGGTTTTGTCATAAGCGGATGTGACACAAAGGGGGAGGTGACTTGGCAAGCACAAGCCTTCTGAGATGAGTGTTGCTAAACTGTGGTTCCCTAGGGGCCCGATTCAAACGTGTGTTCACTGCTCACTGCTCACCTTTCAAAAGCCAGCTCCTCCCAAGGGAGCATGAAGCAAGTGACCATGGGCCACAGCAGAGCTGGGGTAAAGCGGCTTAAGCGAGTGGCGGCGGCCTAAAGGTCCCTGCTGCACCATAAGCACGTGCTCACTTTTCTATAGCCAGCTTTTTGCGAGGAAGCATGAAGCAGAGCAACAAGAGCTGGCATAAAGTGCCTGCTGAGGGCCCTAAGCGAGTTGTAGCGCTCTACAGAGCTCACCCTAACCAAAGCGTCCACTCAATTTTCTAGAGCCAGCTCCCAGAGGGGGAGCATGAAGCGAGTAACCATGGTGCGAAGCAGAAACAGCGTAATTGACCCACTCACTTAAGGGCCTAAGTGAATTGCAGTGTTTGCTCACTTTTCTAGAGCCAGCTCCTCACGAGGGAGCATGAAGCGAGTGACCATGGGGTGTAGCAGAGCTGGAGTGAAGGGCCCACTCAGGGGAGTTGCAGTGTCTTACAGGACTCATCCTGTAAGGTGCACCCTAACCCACGCGGTTACTCACTTTTCTAGAGCCAGCTCCTCGCGAGGCAACATGAAGCGTGTGACCATGGGGCGCAGCAGAGCTGGCGCTGTGAAGTTGTTGGCCAGGAGGAGAGTGAGGGCCTTCTCTGCGTTTTGATTTGACAACAGGCCACCGGGGCAGAGCAACAGGAAGGTTCGAGTGTGCAATTTACAGGCGCTTTTTTAGGCACCTCAAGAATCGGAGGGCTAAGGGGAGGTGTGAGAGTGCGAGGCGCAACCGATGCCTAGCCCTGCAAGCTGGGTGGACTTCCACTCAACAAGAACCCATTAAGGCAGAGGGGGTTTTGAGAGAATTGCAGAGAGGGGGGAGTTACGGATGGACAGGATGGGGTCGTGAGCTTGGTTGACTTAAAAATACGCAAGAAACAGGAGGGGAGACACGTGTTAGCCTACCAAGGACGACATCTTACCGAATGTGAACGGACAGGGGACTTACGATTCGCCTCGGAGACAGGAAAAGGGTTACAAAATCACCCCCTACCAGTCCTACATGCAAACTGAGAAACCTACCTGCAAAGTGGAGAGGTTGACAGAGCTGCTGAAGCATTGTCAGCCCAAACTGGAAAACAAGGCAAAAGAAGGACCTTGGATGAGTACTGAGACACCTCCTACCAGAACTACCTGCAAACTGAGAAACCTACCTGCAAAGTGGGAGAGGTTGACGGAGCTGTCATTAAACCGCTGAAGCATGGTCAGCCCAAACCGCCAGTCCACCTCCCTCCGGCTCCCCAACCACCCTTCCCCACCATCCCCTTTTCCGCCCCTCCTCCCGCCTGCGTTTCGCTCAGCCAAGCGTGCTTCTGCAGTTATGGAGACGAGATCCAAGAGTGTGGAGGTGAATTCGTGCTTGTGCGAGCAGTCTAGGGGGGAGAGGACGGGGTCCTGGCCGGGTGGAGGTGCTGTGTGCTCTGTTGCTGGTGCGCACTTGGGTTGACCGAGAGAAATGAGCTGGAAGGGGTAATGGGAACGGAAATAATCACGACGAGGGTGGTGATGTAAAACATTCCTGAATGCATGTGTGGTCCTCCAAGGGGGGTTAGGATGCTGTGTGATCTGCTGCTGACTTTTGAGTCGACTGATATGAATCACGACGAGTGTGGTGATGCGAATCATTCCTGGTGGTGTGTGTGGTCCACAGGGGATTAGGGTGCTGTGTTAGGGTTGGTGTTGGGGATGGTGTGGGTGCATTCACCTGATACCCATGTGCGCCATTGCATTCACCTTATAGCCGTTTCCAACAAATGAGCGCGCACATGCGAAAGTACTGGCAGCAGCAGTGACCCATGTTGGTGAGCAGTGGCATTATTCACATTCGACTCATAGCCTCATTCCCTCATAGCCTCATTCCCCTCATATCCTTATTCCCCTCACAGCCTCATTCCCCTCATAGACTCATTCCTCTCATACCCCCATCACCTCATAGCCGTTCCAGCACATGGGCGAGCAGATGCACATATACTGGTGGCAGCAGTAATCATTGCGGATGTGATAGCACGAGCATGACGTCTGCTGCTGAGTCAGCGATGCCACGTCAGCATCCTTTTCGAATGACGCCAGCATCTCATCCACCTGGTTAGAGATGGCGTGGGGCAAGGAATCAAAGAGAGCGACAAATAGGGGACAGATGGGGATAGATGCAAGTTCAGAGAGCAGAAGCTAAGGAGGAGGCCAATTGAGAATGCCAGGTGGCCTCATCAAATTCACAGGTGATGACAAGACAACTTAAAAAATGGGTTTGGGCCCGACATATAAAACACAGGTGGGGCTACTAGCTGGAGTACGAATGGAGGGATGGTGGGAGTTGAAACGAGATGACACAATGAGAAACTCTCGTTCCTTCATCAAAACACACTGCTGCTACATCTGCTCTGCTCCAGTCTTCCTCACTTGACACATTCACCACTGGCAGGGAAAACAACTCTCAGATTGGTGACATTCTGATGACGCATCACCAAGTTTGAGACGTCTCAGAGTTTAAAACGTATCAGAATTCTCCGCGGGCAGGGGAAACAACTCTCTGGCTCGCAGCATAATGATGGATACTTCCATTGCACCTCGTCCTCGCTGGAGCTCACCCCGCGAGGCAGCATCACCAGCGTCGGCTTACACTATAGGCCAGCATGAGCTCTGGATGAAAATCAGGCACGGAAGAATCCTCTCACTTCCTCTCACTTGAGCTTGCAGCATTTGATCCATCTCCTTTCGTCGCTCCGCCGCGGAGCTTGCGTGGACTCCAACGACGATGTCCCGGCTCGCGGCGAGGACTAGGAAGAATAAACGGAACAGTACGCATTCGGGCCGCCATGAAGGATTTCTTTGTTTTCGACCGCGTGCAGCCATTTCTGCTATCAGATGAGCCTTCCTTCTGCTAGCCCTTCCTTCCGATGACGCTAGAACTGCTGACAAGAAGAATCTTCGCTTCATCTGGCGGCTTTTGATTCCATTCGCATCAGATCCAGTTCGCTTTGACATGAAGGATGTTGTTATAACGGTTTGACTCCGAAGCTTGTGCTCCGTCTGCCTTGCAAGAGCTCCATGACACTCGGTATACGGTATGTCATGGCTATGCCAGAGCTCGTATAGAGGGCGCGAACAATACACTGATATGGTCTCATGGCTGGCCAACACTGTTTTTTAAATGTAGCGAAAATTGATATCTAGTCAACAGTTACCAACTGTTTCCGCGCCTAACGAGGATTGGCGAAAACATGACAGACAAATTGTTGCATAGTGAGAACCTTGTAACGACATCTCGAACCTTTTCCTGTACGGGACCCTAGAATTTGTGAAGCAAGACTAATCCATCCATTCAAAGAGCGTCCTATCACAACCTTCCCAATTTGTGTAGAGCAACTTCCATCAGGATTCAGCAGCAATAATAACTTCTTGTGTTGGATCCATCATAACTGATCCAGCCAGCCAAACGCACAGAAATGGATTCCTTACAACAGCTGGTCAGTTATTCTTGTTGCTTTTGTAGATTTTGAGCAGCCAATGACAATGCCGATTGTGTTTTCGCAGTCATCTGATGTGACTGCGATTGAATCACTGGCGTCACGAGGTTCTCTGGACGTTGATTCGTGGAACAAACTTGGTAAGCCAATGCGAATCAAGTGCATGAATCAATAGTTGAATGAAACTGATTTCGTCATACAGAGTCACTCGCATCCAAGCTGGCGAAGCGAGCATCTTGCGGAAAAGACGCGTTGATAATAAGCGGCCTGTATTTGGGTAAGTCCGTTTGATTATGTATGTCGTATTCATGTCGTGATCTTTTATATTCGTTCAAATGTGACGTTTTCCTACTCCAGATCGTTTATCGTTGATGTTGACTTGCGAAAGAGCCTCTGTTCGTAAGCACTACATCAACATCGTTGGAAGCTGCCTAGAGCAAAGCCATCGGATCAGCAAAAGCGACTCGCTCGCACTAGTAAAGCTTTTGCAAGTTCTCCTCAACAACCGCTCTGCGATATGTCGACTACAGGCTATAACCTCTCTCGTCGCCGCTGCGAAGCCGGTAAATCATCACGGCACGGAATTGACAGAGGTTATTTCAGAAGCATTGGCATCTGCGCTGTGCGACAAAAGCAAGCTTGTCAGGCTGAAAGCTGTTAGCCTCTCTAAGCAGTTCTTGTCTTTTCATGCCCGGGGGGATCATGTCGGAAAGTTAAAGCCACTTATGGACGCTCTGTTCAGGCTGATATCAGTTCCGCCAGAGTCAGGTCTTACGTGCCTGGAGACCTGGGAAGGAGTTGGTGAAGTGCTCTGTCTGTCACTTTTCCCGCATCAAATGGTGTATGAGGAGCTGTCGAATCTCTTCAACGTTGGCCTTAGCCGACCATCGCGGCCTGTGGCAAGCAAAGTCATTCATTGCTATCTCAATGATTATGAACGCTGGGCGGAGTTTTCTGTGAAATGTTCCGAGACATCCTTGGCAACAGTGAAGGATTTTCTGAGGGATGAGGCTTCCCGAAATCACGCCATCATCAAAACCTACAGGAAGATTGTGGACCAAGCCTTTTCTTGCATTTCGCAATCAGAAAGTCTCTCGAAGGGGTGTACAGCTCCTTTCAGAATCATTTGGCTTTTCGCTCAAACCTGCACTGAACATAAAGGTTCCAGTACATATGATTCAGTCATGGTCAAGCATCTTCAGCGAGCTGTTCAACTTTTTCTCAAGACCAGTCAGGAAGAACAACGAACTTCCAGACATATGGTATCTTGGTGCTTAAAGGTATGGTGGGGTTCTTTCAGCTCGCGTGAAGAAGTGCATTCATCCCACTTACTTTGTTCTTATTGCAGGCTTTTGCAGCCGCCCTGCAGTCTGGACACTGCACTGGGGTTGAGCTTCAGCAAATTTTTGTGAAGGATTTCAACCAACTGTCTCAAACTTTTCTTGAGGAGACAATGAACTGTGTTTTTTCATTGCAAAACTCAGTTCAAATATCCCAAAGACTTCTTCAACCTTTATGGAGCATCATGGTCTGTGGCAAGAAGAGCAGAATGTAAAAGTTTCAGTTACATTCCTCGACCTTATTGGCCACCTCTCTCAACGGTACAAGGTTGCGTCTGATATCTTCATGAAGCGCCTGCGCACAACCAGAGGTGAATCCAAGAATGCAGAATTTGATTATCTGCAACATGAAGATCTGAAGGTGCAAGAAGAAGGTACGTGAAATACCCTTGGCCTGAGTTTCTGGTTTTGGCACATCTATGAATTCTTTCTCAAAAATCTGTGCAGATGCGGCGCAGCATTTCTCGCAACTGCTTTTGGATGGGAATTCCATGCCGGGATGCTACATTCCCATGCTCGTCTCACTTGCCTCCGAAATTGATGTTCCACTTGCTGTGCGACTGGCAGCATTGAGAAGCTTGAGTAGCTTTCTCTTGCTGTCTATTGACCTTGCAAAGCGGCATCGCACTCTAATCACACGACTCTTGGAGGATGAGGAGAAACCGGTGAAGGTCGCTGCACTTGCCACTGTGGCTAAACTAATCCTCACTTCTCCGAATGAGTTCCCAGATTTCTTGGATGGAGTGAATAGCCTGATGGATTCTGACATCAGTGATGCACAACTGGAGGCGTATTCTGTCTATGCGCATCTGCTACTTTCGAAGACAATGAAGGCACAAGGATTTATGAAGCGGCTGGCTGTGGGGCTGCTGCACAAGGATACTCGCATCAAGGGCTTGATGAAGGAGCTGGTTACACAGCTGATGGATGGAAACGCGAAGAGCCGCTGCGTTTTGGTATTAAGTATGTTCAAGCAGTGCCCAAGAGACCAAAAGGACAGCCTTGCAAGGACTCTTGTGAACGAGGTGCTAGTTCCTAGCGACCTTGAAACTGAAGAGTTTGGAAGCTCTGTGCTGCAGCTCCTGAGGCTGGGACAGAGTGAAGCAGCACAGTTCCTCCCAAAGCTGCATCCCTCCAAAACTTTGGTCTTTAAGATTGATTCCTGGACTCAGCTTGACTCGGCCAAGGTTGGTGCTCTCAAAAGCAAGAAGACATCACAGAGCCTGCTGGAATTCGTAAACCGCTACCGACCAGCTTCAGCTGTAGAAAAGGATACCCAGGCAAGGGTTCTTTCCCAGCTTGAAAAGATTTGTGGAAGCCATGAGTCACGTGCTCAGCTTTCCTGCCAAGCCAAGGAGGTCTTCTGCATTGAAGACTATGAAAGAGAAGTCTCCATGTTCAAAGACGTGAGGTTGGACGGATCCTTGGCTGATCTTTTGTAACATTATTTGGTTATGTGACTTTATGCATGAGAGTTGCGTGTCACTTTTTATCCTCTTGAATGAAAAGCGTACCACATATGGTTATAAGGAACTCGTGAAACATCCAAGAGTGGTCTTGCAACTGTGACATGCCTAGACAACAGTTAATCTGTCTGTCACAAAGTTGTCTTGGTCAACAAGACTGAGTCCAGCTTTACCAGAAAGGCCTCCTAATCTACCTAGCAGATCACCCAGCACGTTTGAGGCCAAATTCTGATCTTTCTCCCCACCCAGCTTCTTCCCTGTCCTCCCCTATGTCTGCAATGAACAGTGGGTCCCGACTCGCGTCCGGAACACCACCCCTGCGAACGGTCTCCTCGAAGTCCCTTGATGCGTTTGCAATGGCTTCTTTCACTCCTGCTAATGCTGTCTCTGCTGCTGCCTGTACTGCTGCCTGTGCTGCTGCCTCTGCTGCTGCTGCTGTTGCTGCTGCTGCAGCTGCTGCCTCAACATCATTTAACACCACAGGTCCTTTGGCAGTGGCAAAAATGTTATCATCTGAGGCTTTCCCATTAGGCCCTCCGCTTGCTGGCGAACCTATTGTCTTAGCTTTTCCCTCAGTTGAAGAATCATTCTTCACAGCACCAGAACCTGTTTCCTCACTCCCTCCTCCACTCTTAATTTCACTCCCTCCATCTCTCCTGCTCTCGCTCCCTTCACTCTCACCCTTACTTTCCTTGGCCTCCGTGTTGCCACCTTGAGGCTCGGAACGGACTTGCAGCTTCGGTACTGTCACCCCCAAGATTGCTAGCTTCGGCTGGGACATAGGCAGACGCTCAGGTCGAGCCAAAGCAGCAGCATTGGCAGCAGCTGCAGCAGCTATTTCCGCAACCGCAGCTGCAGCAGCGGCAGCAGCAGCAGCTCTCTCCTCAGCATCTCTCATCTCTGATTCAGATATTACCGTGACATCTGCCTCAGACGCACCCACTCTAGAAGGTTCTGCCATTCCACCTTCTGCTGCTGCAGGCTCTTTCGGCGCCACATCTCCTGCAGGACACCCATTTTGATTGGCCGCCAATGGTGCAGCCTCTAGTTGTGCTACACTCAACTTCGCATGTGAATTTTCAGGCTCGGTTGCACCAGCTGCAAGACCAGGCTCTGTTGCCAACGCAATCCCAGCAGCAACACCAGCTCCTGTCTCTACAGAAGCTTTCCCTGCAACAGCCTCTGCAGCTTCACGTGAAGCAGATTCGTTAGAAGCAGATTCAATTGAAGAGGCACCCTCTTGACGGGCCAGTCTAGCCACCGCCTCCTTGGCAGAATCCACCAATCCAGCCATGCCACGTGTCCCTTCAGCCACTGCAGCAGCCAGCTTCCCCCGTATCGCACTCACCACCTGCCTTATGCTCTCCTGTGCCGGATCCTCATCAGTTGACTTGTCACTCGAACCTAAACCTCTCTGCACAAGATGCTTCTCCTCAGCTGCTTTCTTCGTCACCCCCTCCTCCTTTTTCTCGACCACTCCTTTGATCCCCTCTCTCCTACTCAGCTCTGGATTATCCGAGACATTAGCTTTGATGCTGCTGCTGCTGCTGCTGCTGCTGCTGCTGCTGCTGGAACCAACATTGCTGGTTGCAGTTTTATCAATGCTGCTTTCAACAGGGCTCATTTCTTCACTGCTATCCGCTCCCGTACCACTTGCTATCAACACCTTATCCTTCCCAACTATACCACTCAATCCAGTATCGCCCCCATCATTGCTGCCAGCTGACTGTGCCTGATCATCCCCACTCTTTCCATTTTCCACCTTCTCATCCACACAGCCAACACTCTTATCATTCCCATTCTTCACCATATCACTCCCACCACTCTTCCCACCAACGTCACCCCCACTCTTGCCCCCAGAATCACCCTCATCCCTGTTCAAGAAGGCCATAGCCTTACCCAACAGCTCAGAAGCCTCGTCCTCTCCCATCCTTCGCTTTCCACTCCCTCCCCCACTCTTTCCCCCACCCCCTTCCTTCCCACCAACACCACCCGCAAGTTTGCCACCAAATCCCATTGCCTTATATAGCAGGTCAGCTGCACCATCCTCCCCCATCAATCGCAGCAGGCCAGCCAATAAAGCACCCTCTAGAGCATGCCCCTCCTTGTTGCCCTCCTTGCTCCCACTCCCCCTCCCCTTCACCATCCCCCCCTTTCCTCCAGCAGGTGTGACTGTGCTGCGTGTGCCTGTAAGCGGACTTCCTGAAGCAGATGAGTCTGTGGGAGATGCTGCTGTAGCAGCTGTGACAGTGGTACTAGGGGGTGTGCTGTTATCGGGGGCCGTACTGCTGTGAGCAGATGTGTCAGTATCAGGGGTTTTGGATGTGATAACATCAGGGACTGAGGGTGTCACAGTATCACCAGGGGCTGCGGTGATGGCAGTGCTGGGAGAGGGACTGACGGAGAGAGCAGAAGAAACAGTTCCTGCAAAACCCCTTTGATCCTTCTCCTGCTGCTGCAGCTGCTGCTGCTTCTGCTGCTCCTGCTGTTGATGACTCTGCTGCTCCTGTTGCTGTTGCCGCTGTTGCACTGACATCGCCTGCTCTGGATCCCCTTTTATCTCGCTTTTGAAAGAGCTGTCTTTTGCCTTAAACCTCTCATTTGCCTTGTCCTCAGCTTTACCCTTGTGAGGCACGGTGGAGAGCTGCTGTGGCAGCAGGTCGCATTTTTTCAAGAGGCTGGTGATGGCAGAGCTGACAAACGCCTTTATCTCTGCATCCACCACCGCCTCTGCCTCCGCCACTCTGCAGTTTGAAGAAAGAGAAGGGGAAAGGGGGTGGGCTTATGGATCGACCCTGCCGCATGCAGAGAGAGAAGGGAGAGGAGGCTGGTGATGGCGGAGCTCACAAACGCCTTGATCTCCGCACCCACCACCGCCTCTGCTTCCTGCACCCTGTCAATGACGGGACAGGGGCAATAAGAAGAGGGGAAGCAGAGTTCTCAGTGTGAGGAAGAGGCTGGTGATGGGGGAACCGACAAACGACTTGATCTCCGCACCATCCACCGCCTCTCTGCCTCCTCCACCCTATTCTTCCACCACTGGCTCACCACCACCAGCACACGATCCATGCACACATACACCACCAGCACACGATCCATGCACACATACACCACCAGCTCTGCTGCAACAAAGAGAAGCCCTCGACTCACCTCCTTTCGAACGAGTCAACAATGACGGTAAACGAAGGCTCGAGCCCAGCAATCTTCCTCCCCCATTGCGAGCCTAGCAGCACCCAGTCCATGCACTCCTGCACCACCAGCTCTGCTTACACGCCTACCTTCCCCCAGAGACACGTCACATACTCAGCTCCGTTCAAACGACTCGACGATACCAGTGCAAGAGGGTTCAAGTCCAGCCAGTTTCCTGCCCCACTGCGAGCCTACAAGCACCCGATCCATGCACTCCTGCCCCACTGCGAGCCTACAAGCACCCGATCCATGCACTCCTGCCCCACTGCGAGCCTACAAGCACCCGATCCATGCACTCCTGCACCACCAGCTCTGCTGCTCACATTCTTTCTTCCCTTCACAACAAGCCACATGCTCACATTCTTTCTTCCCTTGACAACAACCCACATGCTCACATTCTTTCTTACCTTGACAACAACCCACATGCTCACATTCTTTCTTCCCTTGACAACAAGCCACATGCTCATATTCTTTCTTCCCTTGACAGCAAGCCACATGCTCACATTCTTTCTTCCCTTGACAACAAGCCACATGCTCACATTCTTTCTTCCCTTGACAACAAGCCACATGCTCACATTCTTTCTTCCCTTGACAACAAGCCACATGCTCACATTCTTTCTTCCCTTGACAACAAGCCACATGCTCACATTCTTTCTTCCCTTGACAACAAGCCACATGCTCACATTCTTTCTTCCCTTGACAACAAGCCACATGCTCACATTCTTTCTTCCCTTGACAACAAGCCACATGCTCACATTCTTTCTTCCCTTGACAACAACCCACATGCTCACATTCTTTCTTCCCTTGACAACAAGCCACATGCTCACATTCTTTCTTCCCTTGACAACAAGCCACATGCTCACATTCTTTCTTCCCTTGACAACAAGCCACATGCTCACCTCCGCTCAAACGAGTCCACAATGACGGTAAACGAGGGCTCGAGCCCAGCAATCTTTCTCCCCCACTGGCTGCCCAGCAGCACCCGATCCATACACTCCTGCACCACCAGCTCTGCATCTCGCAGCAGCGGCAGGGTTGACCCGGGGGAGGAAGAACCGAGGGAGGCGGAGGGGAAGGAGCCGAGCATGGGACCCAACTCCTGGGCGAACTCTTGCATCTGAGAGGCAACGGGACATGAGGGGAGGGGAGCGGAGGGATGGGAGACTGCGTGTGCAGCAGCAGAGGCAGGGCGGGCCTGGGGGAGGGGGAACTGAGGGAGGCGGAGGGAAAGGCGCCAAGCATAGGGCCCAGCTCTTGGCCGAATTCTTGCATCTGAGAGGGGGGGAGACGGAAAGAGATGGGGAGGGGAAGAAAGGGGAGACTGTGTGTGCAGCAGCAGCAGCGGCAGGGTTGACCCGGGGGAGGAAGAACCGAGGGAGGCGGAGGGGAAGGCGCCGAGCATGGGACCGAGATCTTGGGCGAATTCTTGCATCTGAGTGGAAAAGGAATACGGGGAGGGCAAGAGAGGAAGGGTAGGGGAGGGGAGACCGTGTGTGTGCTGCATTGTCATGCAGCTGGAGCCAAGTATGGGGCCCAGCTCTTGGGCGAATTCTTGCATCTGAGTGGAAAGGGGATACGGGGAGGGAAAGGGAGAGAGCAGGGGGGATACGGGGAGGGAAAGGCAAGCCCATTCAGCCCTGCATCCTCCTCCACGATAAGCCCCAGCCCCCCAACACCACATACCTCTGGGGGGGAACCCCATCCCTCCCCACCAACCAACACACACCCATGGAGGGTCTGAAAACCCCAGCTACCCACCAAAACCCCATCCCTCAAAAGTTCCTCGCCATATCTCCCCAAACTCTTCCTTCATTCATACCTCTGGCGGGTCTGGAAACATGCCATCGTCCGCAAACTGGGAAGGACATGGGGGAAGGGCAAAGGGGGAATGGGGGGAAAGGGAAGGAGGAAAATGGGGGAGGGAAAGGGTTAAAGGGAAGAGATGCAAGAATAGTAGTCCGATGGACATCGCAAGATTGAGCAGCAAAAGGAGGAAGAAATAATAAGCTCGGTGTTTAGAGAGTGTTCAATGTCCAAATTGGATGTATAAATAAAAAAGCTAAGAATAACAATTATCTTCTATCAGCTGGCTCCTCCTTCTCATCCGCCCCTCGTTTAGTCCCTTCCCCCATCCCCTTTCCCCCTTCCACCCCCCCCTCACCTCGTGCGGGTCTGGCAGGGAATCAACTGAACTTGCATCTCTGCTGCTCCTTCTCCCCCTCCACCTCTGTCTGAGCCGAACCCAGAGCCACGCCTTTACCCATCTACCGTTTCCCCTTTCCATGCCCAACCAAGAACTCCATAGCTTCACTCCCCTCCTCATCTCATGCGGGTCTGGCAGGGAGTCAAAAGGATCATCCTCCTCTGCTGCTGCTCCTTCTCCTCTGTTTTCTAGTGACCCCCCCAAAGCCAGGCTTCTATCCAACTCTGTTTTCTTTTCCAGTTTCCCCTGCCCCTCCACCCCTCCTCACCTCGTGCGGGTCTGGCAAGGAGTCAAACGGATCCTCCTCCTCTGCTGCTCCTCCTCCCCCTCCACCTGTGTTTTGAGTCAACCCAATGTACACCTTTGAAAACTTTCCACCCTTTCCTCTCTCCGCTCTCTCCGTCCCACCTTCCCCTCCTCACCTCGTGCGGGTCTGGGAAAGAGTCAAAAGGGTCCTCCTCCTCTGCTGCTCCCCCTCAACTGTGTTTCAAACCAACCCCAAAGCCGTTCTTTTGCTCATCGCCAGGCGACAACCCAGCACTGTTCCCCCCTTCTACTTTCCCCTTCCTGCCCTCACCTCGTGCGGGTCTGGGAAAGAGTCAAACGGATCCTCCTCCTCTGCTGCTCCTCCCCCTCCTGCTGCCCCTGCCCCATCCACTGCCGCAATCTGGGTGCATTGAATTTTGAGCCGTTGGGATGGGGAGGAGGGGAAAGGAAGAGGAGAAACTGCGGGGGGGGAAAGAAAGAGCACAAGAACCATCCAGACTAGAAGGTTTCTCCCACCCCTCTTCTGCAGTGCAGCCCATCCACTGGCTGGCTAATTCCTGCAGCGATTGCAGCACCATGCATTGCAGCAGCAAGGGGGAGAGGAGGGGGTCATGCGAGGAGCGTGTGGTTGTTTCCAGCTGCAGACAACCAAGACATTCCAACCAACTCTTGAAGGAAACACGTTTGAGAATTCTCAACAGTGAGAGTTCTTAAAAATGAAAGTTCTTAAAAGTTAAAACTCTCAGTAGTGAGAGCTCTTAAAAAAGTTCATAAAAAGTTAAAGCTCTCAAAGTGAGAGTTCTCAAACGCCACTCCCAACTCTTGAAGAAAACGGAGCTTAAAAAGACATGCGATTTCAATGGTAGTGAATCTTTGAGAGATTTCAAACATCACACAACCCCACTACCAGCTGATGCAACAGCCAATAACCGCTCCATACTGTCCTGACCTGTCCTCTCACCTGCCCATTATCATGTCATGTCACCCCACCTCAACTTGTCTGGCGGCTCTCCTTGCTCGCATGAGGCTCATGAAGTACTGATCCACACTGGACGCCAACAGTGCATGTAGAGTCGCCCTCTAACACTCTTACAGCTATTCCACCCTCCCTACCTGCGCTTGTCTGGCGGCTCTCCTCGCGCGCATCAATCCCATGAAGTATTGATCCACACTGGACGCCAGCAGTCGGTCCAGCTGCTTCTTGTTGAAGAAATAAGGGCGGTACCTGTTGGGGGGGGGGAGGAAAGATGTGTGAGTCAACAGGGGTCAATGCTGGTCAACGGTGGTCAATGGTGGTCCACACTGGACGCCAGCAGTTGGCCCAGCTGCTTCTTGTTGAAAAAGAAGGGCTGGTACCTGTGGATGGAAGAGGGGACACTGGTCAACACTGGTCAACGGTGGTCAATGTTTATCTACACTGGACACCAGCAGTCGGTCCAGCTGCTTCTTGTTGAAGAAGTAAGTCCGGTAGTCAACAGGGGTCAACATTGGTCAACACTGGTCAACGCTGGTCAACAATGGTCAACGCTGGTCAGCCCTGGTCAGCACACCTCCAATACTCACCATATCAGCTCGGCCACCTTCAGACGGCACAGCTGCCTAAACCTCTCACATCACATCCCTCACAACACTCTGCCTCTCACACTCCATGTAGGGTTGAGCACGAGGGCTGGGCCCGGCCCGGGTCGGGCCGGTCCGAAACTGCCCTGGGCCGAATAAGTTGGGCTGTCGGCCCGGGGCAGGGCCCCAACGCTAATTTTTCGTCTAGGGGTGGGGTGAAGAAATGGACGGGGGGATCTCAGCGACTCGCTGTCGAATAATCAAGAAAATCAATACCCAATTCTTCCGCGATCGAAATAATATATAAGCTGAAATATTTGAAGATGGATGATCCCGCTCAGTTGTAAAAATGTTGAGTTTCACGCTTTTTAAAAGGTGGTAACTGTGAAGATTGTGAATTGAACAAGTAATTAGATTAGAGGAACAACCTAGCATACATAGTTGGAAGGGAAGGTTGGAAGGGAAGGATGAAAGTGACCATAGGTTGGGTTGACCTCACTTGGGGAAGTGAGGGAACCATAGGTCAAGTGGGTTGGGTTGCCCACACTTTGTAGAAGTGAGGCAACCCTAGGCCCACTTGGCTTGGGGTAACCTCAATTGTGGGAAGTGAGGTACCCACAAGTCAAGAGGGTTGCATTTGGGGGCTCCACCACAATTGGGTGGATTGGCACCCCAAAGTGCAAGACTACACCCAAAGTTGGGTGTAGTCCCAACCCAACTGTACACCACAATTGGTGTACAGTCACATGTGTTGGCATGCTACACAATATAGATTTTAACACAACCCCTTAGCATGCTAACACAAGAAGAGAACAACCCCTGAATCAAGGGGCGCCCGGGCGAGCAAGGCCAATGAGGCGGAGGAAGGCAGAGTGCGCGGGGCGAAGGAGGGCCTTAGTGAAGATGTCGGCCAAGTTGGCCTCGGTTGCAATCTTGCGAACGGCAATGAGGCCCTTCTGGACGAGCTCGCGAACGAAGAAGTAGCGGAGTTCGATGTGCTTGGAGCGGGCGTGATAGACGGGGTCCTGAGTGAGATGGATGGTGCTGGCGTTGTCGCACCAGAGAGTGGGGCACGGCTGGGGGGCGCCAAGCTCCGCAAGAAGGAAGCAGAGCCAGCGCGACTCCTGGGCGGCCATGGTGCCAGCGTAGAGCTCGGCTTCGCAGGTGGAGAGAGAGATGGCGGAGGAGCGGGTGGAGCGCCAGCTGATGAGGCCGCTGCCAAGGGTGAAGCCGTAGCCCTGGGAGGAGCGGCGGTCCGGCTGCGTGTCAGCCCATGAGGAGTCACTGAAGCCCGAGAGAAGGGGACGGGAAGGGCCGCCGAGGGTGAGGGCAAGGTCCCTGGTCCCGCGAAGGTAGCGGAGGACCCGCTTGGCAGCTTTCCAGTGCTCCTCAGAGTGACGACCGGTGCCGACAAAGCGAGCGAGCACGCTGATGGGGTAGGCGAGGTCGGGGCGGGTGCACATCATTGCGTACATCAAGGACCCAACGAGCTCGGCATAGGGGTGGGGGGAGGAGGTGGGGGAGGTGGGTGGAGCGAGTTGGTGACCGAAGGGGAGCGGGGTGGAAACAGGCTTGGCTTGCGCCATGTCGAACTTCTCCAAGACCTGGCCGATGTAATGGGACTGGGAGAGGGTGATTGTGCGAGCAGGGCGGTTGCGCGTGATGGTCATGCCGAGGTAGTGAGTGAGGGCGCCAAGGTCTTTGCACTTGAGCCGCTGCTGCAGGGACAGCTTCACCTGCCCCATGTCGGCCTTGGTGTCAGAGAGCAGGATCATGTCGTCGACATATACCAGAATGAAGAAGCGGCGGGGGGAGGAGCGGATGAAGAGGCTGGCGTCGGAGTGGGAAGCAGAGAAGCCGAGGGACCCCAAGGTGGCAGCCAGCTTCGCATGCCACTCACGCGGTGCCTACTTCAAGCCGTAGACGGGGCGACGCAGCTGCCAGACAGTGTTCTCAGGAAAGGCTGCGTGGAACCCGGGGGGTCGCCGGAGGAAAATGCGCTCATGCAGGTCGCCCTGCAGGAACGCATTGGAGACGTCCATGGAGTCGATTTCCATGTCGTCACGTGCACCAATGTCCATGGCGGCGCGAAGGGTGGGTGGTTTGGCGGTGGGGGCGTAGGTGAACCAGTAGTCCTCAGCCCAAGTCTGCGTGAACCCCTTGGCGCAGTAGCGGGCCTTGTACACTGGTTCCTCGCCCGGCAGCTGCTTCACCCGAAAGACCCATTTGCCGTCAACGAGATTAGCGCCAGCAGGGAGGGGGACATCGACAAAGGAGTCGTTGCGAATGAAAGCCTCACACTCCAGGAAGATCGCTGCTATCCATTTATCCGCATCAGGGCAGGTGATGGCTTCCTGGAAGGTGGAGGGAGTGAAGATGGTGGGGGTAGTAGTGGCGCCAAGGACAGGAAAGCCCAGGAAGTCAAGGTAGAGGGCGGCAAGGAATGGAGTGTGCTCCCGAATGTTAAGAAACTCCTCATGGGAGTCCTCAAGGAGCTGAATGGAGGCAGGAGGAGGAGCCCCAAGGATTTTGTCCACAGAGCGGGTATGGATGTAAGGGAGGAGGAAGGGGGAGGAACGGGAAGTGGCACGACGCCGCTGCTGCTGCTGGTGCTGCGGAAGCTGCTGCCCTTGTTGCTGCGGCTGCGGCTGACCGTGCTGGTGCTGCGGCTGCTGAGGCTGCTGAGGCTGCTGCTGCTGCTGCCGCCACTGCTGCTGCTGCTGCTGCTGCTGCTGCTGCTGCTGTCCCGGCTGCCGCTGCTGCTGCTGCTGCTGGCCCGGCTGCTGCTGCTGCTGCTGGCCCGGCTGCTGCTGCTGCTGCTGCCCCGGCTGCTGTCCCGGCTGCTGCTGCTGCTGCTGCTGTTGCTGCTGCGGCTGCTGCTGCTGCTGCTGCTGCTGATCCGGCTGCTGGAAGGAGGGAGAGGGAGAGGAGGAGGGAGGGGGGGGAGGGGGTGCGGCCGAGTGAGCGGGGGAAGCGGGTGCGGCAGGGTCATAGACATCGGCGGAGGAGGAGGGCGGGAGCGGAGCTGCGACGGGTGGGAGGAGAGGGGCTGGAGGGAGAAGGGGCGGGAGGACGGTGTCGGTCCAAGCAAGGGGACGAGTGGGAGGAGGGAGAGGATCAGGGGGAGGAGTGGAGTAATAGGGGACGGATTCGTCGAAGACGACGTCGCCGCTGCGGATGAGGCGATTGGTGGGAGGGTGGAGGAAGAGGTAGCCTGGGGAGTCGCGATTGTGCCCAAGGTAAACGCATTCCAGGGCGCGAGGAGCAAGCTTGCCAGCGGCGCGGGAGCGGTCGGCGGGTGGGATGAGAACGAAGGCCTTGCAGCCCCAAACGCGAAGGCCGGCAGCGTCGGGTTTGGCGTTGGACCAAAGCTCTGTAGGGGAGGAGGAAGGATGCTGAGGGTGGGAGCGGAGATTAAGGAGAAGAGCGGCGTGGAGGAGGGCATAGCTCCAGAGGGAAGGAGGGGTGGAGGCATGAGCAATGAGACAGCGAGCTATCTTGGTGATCTCACGAATGCGGCTCTCAGCAATGCCATTCTGCTGAGGGGAGTGGGGAAGGGTGGAGGCCTGTTGGATGCCGTAGGTGTTGCAGTATGTGGCAAGGGTGTTATTGATGAACTCACCCCCACCGTCAGAGTGAAGGCGGCCGATGGGGCGTTTGAAGTGATTGCGGCACTGTTCGGCCCAGTTGATGACCACTGCCGGCACCTGGTCTTTCGTGTGAAGGAAGAAGGTGGTGGAGTACCGGCTGTGGTCGTCAACGAGGACGAGCATGTACCGATGCCCCTAGCGGGAGCGGATGGGATAGGGGCCCCAGAGGTCCATGTGCACAAGGTCAATGGGGGCGGCGGCGAAGGTGGGATGACTGTGGTGGGGGGACTGTTTGAGCTTGCCGTGAATGCATGAAGGGCATGGGGGAGAGGGCGAGGAGGGGAGGGGAGGTAAAACAGGAGGAAGGCTGCGGAGGAGGCGAGAGGTGACTGTGGTGCGAAGGGCGGTGAAGTTGGGATGGCCGAGTCTGTGGTGTAAGAGGACAGCAGGGTGGGAGAGGGTAGTGGAGGAGGAGGGAAATGGGGTGATGGAAGGAACGGGAGGGGAGGAGGAGGATGGTGGGGAGGGAGAAGAGGATACTTGAGGGGGAGGGGAAGGGGGAAGTAAAGGAGGAGGAGGTGGACCGGTGGAAGCACCGGAACGAGTGGTGACGTGGCAGAAGGATGGGCGAGGCGTGCGGAGTGTGTAGAGGCGAGTGCGGGGGCAAAGCGGAATGCGGAGAAGGAAGCGACTGGAGGAGGTTTGGTAGAGATCACAGTAATTGGCATAACCGGGGTAAATGGCAGTGATACCAACACCTTGGAGCTCACGGTGGGAGAGGAGGTTGTTGCGGAGAGTGGGGATGTGGAGACCTGTGACCTTACCGGAGGGGAAGGCAGTGCAAGGGAGGGTGGAGAGGTGAGTGCATGGAATGGAAAAGCTGGAATCAGCCCCATGTACCTGAGTGGGAAGTGGTAGTGGGGTGAGAGTGCCAGCGTCTTTCAGTGCGGTTTCAGTGGCTCCACTGTCAAGGACAAAGTCCAGGGTGGGAGAAGAGGGAGGAGGGGTTGGGACGGGGTACTGAAACGAAGTCTCATTGATAGCAGAGGGATACATGGCAGCGACGGACGGTGCAACACTGATATTACCAAGGAAACTACCAGAAGTGTCGGGAACACTGGGGGGGGCAGAGGGGAGGGAACCCCAGGGGGGAGGAGGAGGAAGGGAGGTATGAGCGGCCATGGCCGCTGCGCCGAAGGTGAGTGGCTGCTGCTGCCAGGGTGGGGGAAGGAACTGCTGCTGCTGCTGCGGCGGTGGCTGGAAGAACTGCGGCGGCGGCGGCTGCTGGGGCTGGAGAAACTGCGGCTGCTGCTGCTGCTGGTGGAAGTACAGGTGCTGCTGCTGCTGGTGCTGCTGAAACTGCTGCAGCTGTGAGGGTGGGGAGGGGGTAACCATGCGGAGGTGAGCAGGAAGGAAAGAGGGGAGGGTTTGAATGTCCACTAAGGAGGGGCGAGGTGTGACCGAGTTCCAGCGAGGAGGGGTGCCAGTGTTGCCGCGATCAAACCAGGCGTCGTCGAGTGCCTTAAAGCACGTGGTGGGGGGATGGTTGGTCTGGCCGCAAGGGGTACCTGCATGGGGACCATGGCGACGCACATATGTGCATGGGGGGAGAGTGCCAGGGCGTCCGCCTCGAGTCACAGCACCTCCAGCAGGGGCGCTGCCAGCACCACCACCACCGCCACCACGGCCACCACGGCCACCACTACCACCACCGCCACCACCACGGCCTCCACCACCACCACCGCCACCCGCTCCACGGCCTCCGCCGCCGCCGCTGCGACCACCCTGGTTGCGCGGCTGCGTAGCGTTGAGGGAGGTGGAGGAGGAGGACTGAGGGGTGGTAAGGTTGACAACGGGGGTGCGGAGCTTGACCTCCGTGTCAATGATCCACTGGACCACGTCGTCGAGGCCGGCCATGGGGTTGGCCTCAGTGAAGGCATGGAGGCGGGATTCGTAGTCCGGGGTGAGGTTGTAGAGGAGGCGGTGGATTTGCAGGGGCTCGGGGAGGGCAGCTTGGCGTGCCGCAAGGCGATCAGCGACCTCCTGCATGCGCCCCACGTAGTCAACTGCGCCATCACAAGTGGCGAGGGTGATGGAGAAGTACTCCTGGAACAGGGCGCCGACAGAGCTGATGTCGCGACGCTCGAACATGGCCTGGAGCTCGGCCCAGATGAGGGAGGCGCGCATCTCGCGAGCTTGGAAACGGCGCATGAGGGTATCAGGGAGTGCGCCGAGGAGGATGGTGCAGGCGCGGTTGTCAGCAGTGGCCCATGCGATGCTCCGAGGGAGGTAGTCCGCCATGGCCGTATTGTACTCATCAAGGAGCGCCAGGCGATTGGCGCGTTCCGCTACCGCGAAGTCGTGGTTATGTACCGCAACCTCATGCTCCGCCTTGCGGATGAGGTATTCGCGGCGATCGTGGAGAAATGCGGCATCGGCGGCATCTTGGAGCGCTGGGGAAGTGGCGATCTCCAAGGTGGGTTCAGGAGGAGGAGGACCAGGAGGAATGGGGGGTGGAGGGGGTTCGCCGGGGTGATTGGGTGCCGTGGGCTGGAGGGCTTGCGGGCGGCGGAGGAGGACGTCAAGGACGCAGTAGGGTCCGACAAATGCATCTTGGAGAACACGGCGGATGCTCCCGACGAAGGAATGCCAGTTGATCGCCGAGCGGTCCGCGGCAAGCTGAAGCTTGTCGACGGAGGAGGCGTCAATGGGAGGGGGGAGAGGGGGAGGAGTGGTAGCCATGAGGGGCGACGGCGGGTGGACCCGCGGCGGCCTCGAGGTGGACGGCGGCGGGTGGACCCGCGGCGGTCAAGTGGGAGGGCGACGGCGGGTGGACCCGCGGCAGCCGAGAGGGAGGAGGGGGGGGGGGGGAGGGGGGGGGGAGGGGGGGGGGGGGGGGGTGCTGCTGCGGGGAGTGGAGTTCTTCTCCGGCTGCTGCTGCTGCTGCCGCTGCTGCCGCTGCTGCCGCTGCTGCCGCTGCTGCCGCTGCTGCTGCTGAGAGGGAGGAGGGGGGGGGGGAGGGGAGGAGGGGGAGGAAGATGGTGGATGCAGCTGCTGCCGCTGCTATCGCTGCTCCTGATGCTGCCGCTGCTGCCGCTGTTGCTGCTGTGGCTGCTGAGCTGTCCCGGCTGCTGCTGCGTGGGAGGAGAGGAGGAGGAAAGGGGGAGGGGGAGGGAGAACGCAGGTGTAGCTGTGGGCGAAGCTGTTGCTGCCAATGACGCTGCTGCTGCGGGATGAGGCGGCTGCTACGAGGAACGGTCGGCGGCGGGATGCGCGGGTGGCGACGAGGGAATCGTGGCGGCGGAATGAGCGAGCGGCGACGAGGAGGGCGCGGCGGAGGGATGCGCGGGCGGCGACGGGGAAGGCGCGGCGGTGGGATGCGCGGGCGGCGACGAGGAAGGCGCGGCGGCGGGATGCGCGGGCGGCGACGAGCAGGTCGCGGCGGTAGGATGCGGGGGCGGCGATTGTTAGGTCGCGGCGACGGGATGTGAGGGCGGCGACGAGCAGGTCGCGGCAGGAGGTCGCGCGGGCGGCGACTTTAGGTCGCGGCGGCAAGGGGTGCAGGCGGCGACGAGAAGGTCGCGACGGCAAGGGGTGCAGGCGGCGACGAGAAGGTCGCGGCGGCGGGATGCGCAGGCGGCGATGCGAAGTCGCGGCGGCGGGTCGTGCAGGCGGCGACGCGAAGTCGCGGCGGCGGGTCGTGCAGGCGGCGACGCGAAGTCGCGGCGGCGGATCGTGCAGGCGGCGACGAGCGGGTCGCGGCGGCGGGATGCGTAGGCGGCGACGGGGGGTCGCGGCGATGGGGAGTGCAGGCGGCGACGCGAAGTCGCGGCGGCGGGACAGGAGGCGACGACGGGGCGTCGCGGCGGCGGGATGCGCAGGCGGCGCCGAGGAAGGCGCGGCGGCGGTGGGGGGAGGCGGCGACGCGACGTCGCGGCAGCGGGAGGGGCAGGCGACGACGGGGCGTCGCGGCGGAGGGATGCGCGGGCGACGCCGAAGTAGGCGCGGCGGCGGGAGGGAGACGGCGACGGGGGGTCGCGGCAGGGGGAGGAGGAGGCGGCGACGAGGCGTCGCGGCGGGATGTGCAGGCGGCGCCAGAGAAGGCGCGGCGGCGGAAAAAAGGGGGAGGGGGGGGGGGGGGGGGGGGCAGCGACGGTGTGTCGCGGCGACGGGGGGCGGTGATGCACTCGCGGCGGTGGGATCCGCAGGCGAGGAGGGCGCAATCACGGCGGAGGGAGGGGAGGGCGGCGACGACGTAGGTCGTGCCAAGGAGATGCTAGGTTGAGCCACACGTAGGGGGTTTGTGGCTGTGGGGTGGGCCCATGGGGAAGAAAAAAAACTTTGAGGGAGGGAGAGAGAAGGCTTAGGAACAACTAGCTCTATACCATGTGAAGATTGTGAATTGAACAAGTAATTAGATTAGAGGAACAACCTAGCATACATAGTTGGAAGGGAAGGTTGGAAGGGAAGGATGAAAGTGACCATAGGTTGGGTTGACCTCACTTGGGGAAGTGAGGGAACCATAGGTCAAGTGGGTTGGGTTGCCCACACTTTGTAGAAGTGAGGCAACCCTAGGCCCACTTGGCTTGGGGTAACCTCAATTGTGGGAAGTGAGGTACCCACAAGTCAAGAGGGTTGCATTTGGGGGCTCCACCACAATTGGGTGGATTGGCACCCCAAAGTGCAAGACTACACCCAAAGTTGGGTGTAGTCCCAACCCAACTGTACACCACAATTGGTGTACAGTCACATGTGTTGGCATGCTACACAATATAGATTTTAACAGTAACTCGAGTTTGTGTTAGGGAATAAAAGTTGTCGCGGGCATGCGCAACCTGAAAGTGGTGGAGAAGTTGCACGGAGAACACTAATGAAGCGGCAAGTAGCGGGCTAGCAGGGTGCATTGGGTGGGGTGGGGTGGGGCAAGGAAAACGACTTCCACAGCTGATGTTGCCGCGTCGACCAAATCCTAGGATAAGGCAGCCTGACTTCTGATCCGAAGTGCACACCAGAGCGTTCACGCGCATGGGCACCAGTTCAGTAGCGAATGCTTTCGCAATGCATTGTAATTTTCCATGGTACATTATTCATGCTTGGCAGGGAACATTCGTCACAATACGTTAACTTGGAACAGTAGGCACAATTTTGGTATTGACTCAATAATTTTATTAAATGATCATCATTCAGTACCTTTGTTGAGAAGCCTTGCTGGACTCGTTTGTATTATGTGCGGATAATACATTGCATAATACATTATGTGTGTATTATGGATCTTATGGCAGGTTTTGCGAGACCTCCCTTTTGACACTTGATTAGCAGGACTACATTGCTTCAATATTCTCAAAAGTGCCAAGTCAGAATTTAGTGTTATTCGCTGTAAATTGGACACAATGAGTGGAGGTGCTAGAACTGCAATCATATACGTTCATTTCTCAAACGTGCTGACCCATGCACGGCATTCTCGTTTGCTGGACAAAAAAAGGTGTTTTAGGTTTGGATGGGAGGGATGTGAGGGGTTTATGGAGGGTGAGAGGCAGAATGTTGGGAGGGATATGAAGGGTTCACGGAGGGGGAGAGGCGGAGTGTTGGGGGGGATGTGATGTGAGGGGTTCATGGAAGGTGAGAGGCGGAGTGTTGGAGGAGATGTGATGTGAGGGGTTCAGGCAGCTGCCTTTGCCGCACGAACACCGCCACTCCTTGACGTGGTGAGTGAGGATGCCAATAAGCACCACCGCAACACTCCACGTCAGCACAACATGCTGCCACCAACACTCACCACCTCAGCTGGCCGCCCTTAGACGGCACAGCAATGGTCAGGTTGGCCGCACTGAACACCGGCACTCCTTGGAATCGCTCCGCCGCTTGCCGCCCCTCCAGCTGGAGCAGTAGCTTCCGCGCCGCCCGCACCTGACTCTCGTCCGGTACAAAGGCGAAAAGCGGGTGGCGGAACTGGGCGGGAAAGAAAGGGAAGGGAAGGGGTGGGTGGCAAAGGGCGGGAAGGGGGAGGTAAAATGGAGGGGGATAGCAAAGGTGGGGAAGCGAGTAATGGGCTGACAATGAAAGATACATCATACAACTTTTGAGACGTCTCAAAAGTCATACATGTATGTGCTGTTGGGAGAACAGGCATGGCTCCATGACCAAAAGGGACTCATGGAAGGGACTCTCTCAAGTTAAAGCCTCCCCCACTCCAAACCAACCTTGAAGAATCGGTATGCAATTTGAAGTGGGCACAACCCAAGCGTGGTGGCCCAGAATAAGCCGCGGTGACATGAGTTGAAGCCCCCTCCCCAAACTATCAGTTGAGACCTCCCGCAATGATATCGGTTAAAGCCTCCCCCTCACCAAACCAACCTTGAAGAACCGATACGCGACTTCAAGCGGGCAGAATCCGATCGTGCTGGCCTTGACCTCGTCTGGTGCGAACGGGTACAGCTGCAGGCGACGCAGGTAGCGCGCTGGGGGTGTGGGGAGGAGGGGAGGAAGGAGGAGAAGGGGGATGATATCAGGTATTCCAGGCACGCTAGAGATACAGAGATCATTCGGTGCGAACGGGTACAGCTGCAGGCGACGCAGGTAGCGGGCTGGGGGGTAGTGGGCGGGGTTGTGGGCGGGTTAAGAGTAAGGGGATGGGGCATTTCAGGGTGACTAGGGCATGAAAAGGGCAGAATCCGATGAAGGTAGCGGGTTTCACTTCGTCTCGTGCAAACGGGTACAGTTGCAGCAGGCGATGCAGGTAGCGGCTCAACCCAATCGTGCCGGCTTTCACCTCGTTCGAGGCAAATGGGCACAGCTGCAACAGACGATGCAGGTAGCGGGGTGGAGTGCAAGACGCGGGTTGAGTCCCCTCTCCAATGGGGAAGATGCAGGAAACCTAGTTAAAGAGCTCCCCGTTTGCACTGAGTGAATGAAGTGAAGATCAGGAGGTCACGAGCCAGCTTTGTTTCTCTTTCGCTTCGTTCACTCAGTGCAAACGGGGGCAGCTGCAAGTGCCACGGGTTTACCGGGCTAGTGGGAGGGTTTGGGGAAAAGGTGGGACCAAACTTGGGACCAAACTTGGGACCAAAGGTGTTTGTTTTAGAAAAATGAATGCGCTTCTATTCAAGTGCTTACTGCTCCTCACCTGCAGTGCCTCGGCTCAGGAAGAATCTGAAAACACCCTCTCCCTCGCTGTTGCGCCTCTCCTGGCCCTCCTCCAGTGCCTCACGCTCACTAGCTCTCCTCTCCTTCTCCTCCCCCCTTCTCTCCTTCCCTCCCACTCCTCTTTCCTTCTCTTCCCCCCTTCTCTCCCCCTTTTTCTCCGTCTTTCCACCATTTCTTCCAGTTTCCCCTCCACCTGCCTCCCCCCCTTTATGTTCCCCCTTGCCCACAATCGCAGGAAGGGCGCGCTTCAGTAACCTGAATGAGGGGGGGCAAGGGGGAAGGAAGAAAAAGCGAGGGGGAAAGGCGGAACAAGGAGTGGACGGGGGGACGCACTTCTATCTGACTCTCCACCGCTTCTTTCCACTTCCCCTCCACCTGCCTTTCCACCTTCTCCTTCCCCTTAGCCCACAATGGCAGGAAGGGCGCGCTTCAGTAGCCTGAACGAGGGGCGGGTTTGAGTGGGGGGGACGGAGGGGGGCGCGGAAGGGGGGAGGTAGTTTTTGACTGGACTGGAAATCGTCCCCTCTTCTCCTTCCCCCTTCCCCACATTGCCAGGAAGTGAGCGTTTCAATCAAAAGCCTGAACGAGGGGCGGGTTCCGGTGGGGTGGAAGGGTTTGAGGTGCCTATAAAAAGGCCTTCTCTCCTTCTCCTTCCTTCCCCCTTCCCCACATTGCCAGGAAGTCTGGATGAGGGGCGGGTTCAGGTAAGGGGGGAGTGTGGGGTTGGGGGGGAGGGGGAGAGGCAAAAAAACGGTTGGGGGAGGGAGAGGGGGATAGCACGCCCTTCCGTCCCAGCATGCCCCTGTCAGAGGGGTCCGCGAATCTCCCACCAACCACACCCCAGCCATCCCAACCACTCACTCTGACAGCTGCTGTCGCTGCTGCCCCAGCCACTCCTCTCCCCCATCCCTGTGAAGGGAGACGGCTCGACCTTCACTCCCAACATGCCCCTCTTAGAGGGGTGTTGAGAGCAACACTTCAGCCTCATCACACCGATCACTCACCCTTGCAGCTGCTGTCGTTGCTTCCCCACCCACTCCCCCATCCCTGTGAAGGGGGACGGTTCGACCTTCACGCCCAGCATGCCCCTCTTGGTGGGATCCGCCACGAGAAACACGTTGCCCATGAACGCTGGCCCACTGCCCACCCGCTGCTGCTGTTGTTCGGTGGGGAGGAGAGATGGCAGGGGTGGGATGGGCATGGGGGAGGGGCGCGGGCGGGGTGGAGGGGGGTTGGAGGAGGAGGAGGAAGGGGGAGAGGGGGAGGGGGAGGAGGAGGAGGAGGAGGAAGAGGAGGAGGAGGAGGAGGAGGAGGAGGAGGAGGAGGAGGAGGAGGAGGAGGAGGAGGAGGAGGAGGAGGAGGAGGAAAGAGAGAAGGAGGAGGGGCGTGGGGCAGACAGCGGCAGCATAACCTCCTCTTGAACCTCCTGAATCTGCCAAACGGCCCCTGAAGCTCCTCCCACTCCCACTCCCACTCCCACTCCCACTCCCACTCCTTGCAGCATGACCTTAGCAGCACTACCACACCCACGTGCTGCTGCGGGCAGCTTTTCGGGCACCTCGAAACTTTCAAACCGCCTTAGGATTCCTCGCTGCACGACTGGAGCAGCACTACCGCCGCCATTCGCTGCCGCTGCGGGCAGTCGGGCGGAGGACCAGAGCAGGCGAGCAGGCTGGGAAAGCCGTGTCAGGCTCGGTGAATGTGGTTGGATCAGGGGGGTGCACGGTTGGGGTTTCACATCGCCTAGCCATTTCGCCGCATTCACCACCGGACTACGCAAGGCCAGAGCGATCCCACCCACCAGCCCTGAAAACCCAAGCATCCCTAAACGAGCTAACGGTCCTGCTTGTAACGCGTCTGGTTGTCCCAGCGGCAATTGGGATCTCCATGCTCGGAGATGCGGCCGAGTGGAGACGCATTGTGAACCGTCGGATTGGGATAAGAGACCGAGATGCCGATCCACTGATGCCGTCTGTTGGTTCGTCTGATCCTGAGACCTACTAGCACCGTTCTTAGTCTGCTTGAGGCGGTTCCTGCGTGGCGAACGCTTCACGATCACGCGGTATTGCTGCTGCGACGGGCTGCTAAGATTTAATCTCCCTTGGGAATCTCGAGGCCCCGTGGCGAGGAGGTAGATGTGGAGGCTGTCGTGCGTGTCGCTGGTAACCACTTTCGCGCGCTCGTCGCGTTCGCTAGCCTCGCAGAATTCGCCATCGCCACCTGGTACGTGGACATCCTGCATGGTCGCGGATTGATTTATGAATTCTAGCGGCTCCTCCTCACACCTATCCGCCATAGCTTGGGGAACTAGTTCGCAAAAACAGAACCAGCCAAATTGGAATCTCTGGTAACATGACCACGAAAATCCAGAGTCCAGACACTGCAGAGGACTTAGGGCGTGTTTCCAACTCAGAACGTGCCTAGATGACTATAACCTAAGATGCCATATCAGCTGGTAACCAGGTCACCCATTGCATATTGGCGAGTCAACATAAAAATCAGACGAATAAAATACGGTATATTTCCTCCACGTATTCCAGAACTGGCTGCAGGGTGATCTTCCACTTGCAGTCAGGCCTTTCTACACCGCTTCGAACCTCGTGGCCCTACAGAAACCGCATGGTGGTGTACGTCCCATCGCCATTGGGGAAGTGCTACCACGCCTCCTTTCACGCTGCATCACTCTCCTTTTTAAGCAGCAGATGCGAGAGACATTCCTTCCTCACCTTCAATTTGGCGTAGCAGTTCCGGCCGGGATCGAGATTATGTCGCACGCAGTGTGCTCCGCCTTCTCCCTTCATCCAGACTGGGTGGTGCTTCAGCTGGACGTTGCAAACGCGTTCAACTCATTCAACCGGGTTTCCATGTTTGAGGCATTAAGGCGCTCCCCATTCTCTAGTCTCATTCCATTCTTCCGCCTATTCTACTCCACCCCTTCACCTCTCCACTACCGCAGCGCCCCCCTTCTCCACACATTCCAGTCAGCTTCTGGTGTTCGTCAAGGCGACCCTTGTGGCCCTTTTCTTTACGCCCTAACACAGCAGCTAGCCATCCAACCAACCCAGCAACAGTCTCCCTCAATTTTCGTTACCTCATACGCAGACGATACCTACTTGGTCGGCCCTCCCTCAGACGTCTTTTCCGCATACAATGACCTTACCTCCCGCCTTCTCTCTCTTGGCCTTACTGTCCAACCCTCTAAGTGCTCTCTATGGGCCCCTATGGACTTGCCCGAACACTGCATTCCGCCCCCGGGTATTTCCATCGCTGCAAACGGTCTCACTGTGGCTGGAGTTCCCACCGGCTCAGACGGTTTCATCATCTCTACAGTTCGTGACAAGCTCGATTCTTTCACTACCTCCCTCCCTTTACTGCATCAACTGCAGGACCCACAGATTGCCTCACGGATCCTTTCCTTATGCATCACTGCCCGACCTTCTTTCCTCCTCAGAACTGTCGCACCTTTTCCCGAAATCCAAGAGCTACTCTCTTCATGGGACAGCACGATTTTCAGCCACTTCTCTCAGCTCCTGGGCTCCGAGTACTGGAATCCCACCTCTGAACGGTCCACATCGGCCCGCCTCCAAGCCTCGCTCCCTATCCGCTTAGGTGGCTTCGGCATTCGCAGCTCTGCATCCATCGCCCCCCTCAGTTACCTTTGCAGCTGGGCGCAGGCAGTTTCGACCCTATCCACCCACTTCATCACTGATGGTGCTCCTCTTTTCCGCCCTTACGTCACCACGGACTCCATTAACCTCCTCGACCCTTCAATCTCATCTACCATTACCATGCTTCCCCAAGACATTCGTGACCGCTTCCCATCATGGCCTGTGCTTCAATCGGGCTACCCTCCTAAACTCTTTACTCACCTCTCCCAACACCTCGAAGCCGATTTGCTGGAGAAGGTTCGAGCCACAGTAACGTCCCCGCTTCGCCTTGCTCGTCTAACCTCTTTGCAGGGCCCGCATGCAGGTGACTGGCTCACTGTGGCTCCATCCTCCCCGCACATGCAGCTTTCAGAGACCGAGTGGCGCATTGCAGCAGCTATCCGCTTAGGCCTTCCTCTTCCTCACCTTTCATCTTCACTCACCTGCACCTGCAACTCCCCGTTCACCGATCCTTCCATCCATTCTCATGTCCTTCGCTGCCCTAGCAACAACGAGCCTACTAAGGTGCACGACGCAATCAAACGAGAAGTTCATCGCATTGCCTTGGAGCTTGGGTTCTCTGCGCAGATGGAAGACCAGCATCTCCTGCCTGGCCGCCGCACAGACATCACGTGCCGCGACATTAGCTCTGGTACCACCTGGGCCTTGGATGTTTCTATTGCTGATCCACAAAAGGGGTTTCCACACTCCAACGCAGCTACGGTGATTGGTTCAGCAGCAGCCACTCGTGAAAGTGAGAAGACCACCCACTATGCTGCAGCACTTCGTGACCGTCCAGACGTCAAACTGTTTCCCCTTGTCATCGAAACCTTCGGTTGCTTCGGCTCATCGTTCAACAATTTCCTACGCCAATGCAGCCGCAAAGGGGCTTCACAACTCCGTGACTTGAGTGGTGCTACAGATTTCCTTCCCCTGCTGTTTGAGACCAACTTCTACAAACGGATTTCTCTGGTCCATCAACGTGAGCAGTCTCGCACTGTTTGTCGTCGTGCACAAATTCGTTTTACCGAGGGCGTCAACCACGCACCACCCGAGGTGACTTCTCTTTCTGCAGCTGACTTTGCCTACTTTGGAGAGGACCACTGAGACATCTCAGAGGCCTATTTGTAGGCCTCACAATAGGATTAGCCTGCATGTCTTTCCATACACTAGATGCTTGGATTTGTCTTGTATACATTGTACATTTATTATAGTGTCAATGAAGAGGTAGAATAGCTCTCCTGCCTGGCCGCCGCACAGACATCACGTGCCGCGACATTAGCTCTGGTACCACCTGGGCCTTGGATGTTTCTGTTGCTGATCCACAAAAGGGGTTTCCGCACTCCAACGCAGCTACGGTGATTGGTTCAGCAGCAGCCACTCGTGAAAGTGAGAAGACCACCCACTATGTTGCAGCACTTCGTGACCGTCCAGATGTCAAACTGTTATCCCTTGTCATCGAAACCTTCGGTTGCTTCGGCTCATCGTTCAACAATTTCCTTCGCCAATGCAGCCGCAAAGGGGCTTCACAACTCCGCGACTTGAGTGGTGCTACAGATTCTCTTCCCCTGCTGTTTGAGACCATCTTCTACAAACGGATTTCTCTGGTCCATCAACGTGAGCAGGCTCGCACTGTTTGTCGTCGTGCACAAATTCGTTTTACCGAGGGCGTCAACCACGCACCACCCGAGGTGACTTCTCTTTCTGCAGCTGACTTTGCCTACTTTGGAGAGGACCACTGAGACATCTCAGAGGCCTATTTGTAGGCCTCACAATAGGATTAGCCTGCATGTCTTTCCATACACTAGGTCCCTGGATTTGTCTTGTATCCATTGTACATTTACTTTAGTGTCAATAAAGAGGTAGAATAGCTATCCAACCAACCCAGCAGCAGTCTCCCTCTATTTTCATTACCTCATACGCGGACGATACCTACTTGGTCGGCCCTCCCTCAGACGTCTTTGCCGCATACACTGACCTTACCACCCGCCTTCTCTCTCTCGGCCTTACTGTCCAACCCTCTAAGTGCTCTCTATGGGCCCCTATGGACTTGCCCGAACACTGCATTCCACCCCCTAGTATTTCCATCGCTGCAAACGGTCTCACTGTCGCTGGCGTTCCTACCGGTTCCGACAGTTACATCATCTCTACAGTTCGTGACAAACTAGATTCTTTCACTTCCTCCCTCCCCTTACTCCATCAACTGCAGGACCCACAGATTGCCTCACGGATCCTTTCCTTATGCATCACTGCCCGACCTTATTTCCTCCTCCGAACTGTCGCACCTTTTCCCGAAATCCAAG